CTGCCAATTTAGAAGATGGCCGCTGAGCATATACGGCTTATTATTGTTGCATTACACGCTCGTTTCGAAAATTGGAGCAACTACTCACAGCTATTAAAAAGAAATACGTAGGTACCTACTTTAGATACTAACTAATGAATAACTTACATTCTTATCTCACTTTGTCACCAACATACACATAATATTACTCGGTAATCGATTTTGTAATTTATTTCTTTGTTAGAAAATAAAATTTTGCTACATTGTTTCCGTCTATAATGAAAAAAAATAGTTTAAAAAACTAAAAAACACGCTTTTAATTACTGCACTAAAACTCGCTGAGTTTCCACTGTTTCGTTTAGGAGTTCATATGGCCACCTCCTCATCAGGGCCCTGGTCATCATTTAGCACCAAAAGTGCTCGAGAAGACAACGAAACCAAACTCGATGCGATTCCGCCGTTTCGTTTAGGAGTTCCTATTCGCATCATCAGACCAGCTCGATGATACCATAAATTGTATTGTCATAATAATCTCTATCATAAGTTTCATGGTGATACAAGAATTAGAAGTGCGTGTAATTCAGATTCTTAGATTCCATTACATAGGTAGTTAGTTTCATACACGACAACCTAATAAAAGCATGTTAATGAAAAAATATTTCAAAGGTTTACAAGGAGAATATTACCTACATGACTATTATTTTGAACTCGTACCTACCTAAACCTATGTTAGTAAAAACGTTTTTTAGGGTTCCGTACCTCAAAAGGAAAAAACGGAACCCTTATAGGATCACTTTGTTGTCCGTCTGTCCGTCCGTCCGTCCGTCTGTCAAGACCCTTTTTCTCAAAAACGCGTGGAGGTATGAAGCTGAAATTTATATCAATTACTCAGGTCTACTGTCTCTTGAAGCTGTGAAAAAATCAAACTTCTAAGCCAACGCAATCAAAAGATACAGCCGTTTATGCCGCAAATTTTCGACACTTGCAAGGGAATCAAAACCTACAGGGTGCTTCCCGTGAACTCAGAATCTTGAAATTTAGTACGAAGCAACGTCTTATAGCATAGATAAAGGAAAAATTACGAAAACCATAAATTTTTAGTTACATCACATAATATATCGGTCAGTTGCGCGCGCGCGAGCTCTTGATCGGTCGTGAACTGTCTTGTTAACATTGTATCAATCAAGTCAATAGTGTCGTGCAATTATTACGTTGTCTTACCAATTCACCTCACGTGAATACGTATTAATGATACGTGCATTATTATTCTTGGTCGGAGAAATTGTGTAGTGCGGTTTTGCGACTGTACCGAGACAGCCACACTTCAGCACGATGCAGGGTGCTTATCAAAGCATTGAATTTTGCCGGTCCTAAGGCCGATCCTAAGCCCGGGTAAGTATGAAGGGAAAGTTGAATTATTTTACCTAAGCGCCTACTAAAACCACCATCTAAAACTGTTCGCACCACTCAGCTGTTATGGCGGATCTTAAATTCACGAACTACGAACGACGCGCGATCTCAATTGGAGTTACACAGTAGGTATTATTATTAACTAGTGTTAAAAACTCACAGAAATACAACGTGACGTATTACGCAATTACTAAATTACTGTTTTGAAATGTTGCAATAAAAATAGCCTAAGATAAGTAGCTAAGTAATACATTATTATTATTCTGTGATGATAACACTGAAAGCCGCTGTTTTGGCAGATCTTTGAATTACAAAGGACATCATCCATTTTGGTCCAAAATCAAAAGTGCCGGCCAAAAAATAAAAGTGCTGTATTCTGATAGAATACGTCCGCCTTAGCAATAATCTCAAATACTCGACGCACAGTGGAGCTACGGCTTTGGTGCCATAGTAACAAATGCTAAGGCAGACGTATTCTGTCAGAATACAGCACTTTTTTTTGTTGGCCGGCACTTTTGATTTTGGACCAAAAATATATGAAACGTGGATGATGTCCTTTCTTTTAAAGCCGTAGTAGCCTCGTAACGACACATTGGTGTGTATTCGTAACGTATTCACAGTAGGTAGGTATTTCATTGTATTATTAACTTACAATTAGTGTTAACAGTCAGAATACCACGTAAAGAAGTACGTAAGTGTAATGAAACACTTATTAGAACTCAAAATTACTTGAAATGTTGCACTAAAATGGTCTAAGTTAGTAATAATAACACTGGAAGCGTGGTCAAGGCGTGAGCGAGACAGACAGATCAATGTGCGAGCGCGTACGACTACTCTACTGAATGAACGAGCAGCGGAGTGGCCCAGCTGTGACGCGTAAAATAGGGACTAAAGAAAATTTAATAAAAAAAAAACATTAACTTTATAAAAGTTGAAATTTTTTTTTTACTTTATAATTTTCACACATTTCTACATAACCTGTTAAAAATTTTCCGGTGATAAAAAAGTAGTGGTGTATAATCAATTAGGGTTCCTTGGCAAAAAAAAATTGGGAAACCCTGATCTATGTTACCACTCTATGAGCAATCTCTTGAAGTTTTTGTCTTAATTCTTTTAGTAATAATGACTAGCTTGCTTTATCGTACCTTGCTTGGTCTGCAAACGCACGCAGCTTGCCACCAGCGCGTTGAAGAGCGCCTGTTGGCGGAGACAGGCCAGCAGCGGCGGCACGTGCGACGGGTGAGTGAACGGGACGCTGGTCACCACGCAGCCTTCGAGCCCGCGAGTCTCGCACAAGAAGTAGCACTGAGTCTGCTCGGGAAGGTTCTGTAATAGGACATTTTACAACTGTCAATACTTTGGGTTTGTGAGGTTGTAGGTGTAATCCCTGGATCTACTGAACGGATTTTGAAAATTATTTTGCCAATAGATAGGCACAATGTTTGAGCGTGTTATAGGCTCTGTATTAGCTTGAAAAATTAAAATACTTATGCTCGTTTTCACCATCAATCCCTAATCTTTAAGTGACTCCTATGGTAACACATAACAGGAATTTTGTTTTCATAGGGGTCACTTAAAAATCAGGGATTGATGGTGAAAACGGGCATTATTGTATCTAATAAACTGCGAGTAGTTCAGGGAACGTTTAATCAGTGACAGTTTTTCTTCTCCTTTGCCTGGCTCATTCCCATTTTATTAGGGGTCGGTTCTCCGTATCATGCGTCTCTAGGCGGCTCGGTCCTGGGTCGTCTCGCTGTTGACTTGGGCCTTTTTAAGGTATTTATTTACTATGGACATTCATGTGATTCGGGGTCGTTTTTATAGAAGAAAAAAATTGGCAGTACGAAATTCGCCTGTACATTAAAATACTCAAAAAGTATGTGTTAACTCACCACAAACAATCCCTTGCTTAGATTCAGCTCTACAATCTTGCCTGGTGCGAGCTTGTTGTAGGCTTGCTGGGCCACGAGGCCTAGCAATGGCTTCGCATTCGCCCAGTCACCAGCCACCTCCACCTGAGAAAATGAACTGAACATTAAACAAGACTACAGTAAAATATAGACAAATTTATACTCAGAATAGTAACATTTGTTACATTTTCTCTATTCAATGACCTAATCAAAAGTCTAAGTGCAGAAAATAAGCATCATCTAACTATAGTTTCTCTAAAATCGTTTTTATTCATATAATTACCTCAGTTGTAGCATGTATGAGTTTTGCTAGCCCAGAACACATAGGTGTANTAACCCGTGAAAAAAAAAACATAGTTATGACTCGATTGTCATAATGAACGAACTTTGTAAACCTTGCAGGTTTGTACGGAACCCTCGGTGCGCGAGTCCGACTCGCACTTGGCCGGTTTTTTTTTAATTTCTTAAATTACTAATATCTTTTTCTTTCGACTTTCATATCTTTGTTTTAATATACCCCAAGGTTCCGATAATTATGGTTACATTTTTAGGCTTTACTTCGAAAGTCGTCACGATTCCTTACAAACTAAGCTCCCGTATGTTTACACAACAGGCGGTGCCTCAATAATGCACGCGTCGCGCTATGAATATACGTCTCTATATCTCAGATACACGATACACGTGGGTAGTCGCCGATTTATGGCTCAACTTTACCTTTACTCGCTACCGAAGGCGCTGCTGTACCTACTGACTGAAATATCTACGTATAATATTATAGCTTGCTATGGGACTAAAGCCTGGTCCATGAGCACGTAGAATTTTGTCCAATGACCCCAAGCTACCCATCCTTATCGCTCTCGCGTAATTATATTGCTGTCGCGACTGTGCGACGCGCTCCCGCAGTGAGTGTGCGAGCGCGATAGCGACATAATTACGCGCGAGCGATAAGGATGGGTAGCTTGGAGTCATTGGACAAAATTCTACGTGCTCACGGACCAGGCTTTATCATAGTTAAACTTTTTATTATTTTCGCCTATGTTGAAGCAACATTATTTAGGGGATATTTTTATCCTCAACGGGCAAGCTCTTGGCCTGTATCTCCTGATGGTAAGTGATGATCAGGCCGAAGGTGGAAGCGAGCTTCACCCGGAATCCTCAACCACAGAGGAACTGGCTATCTTACCTCTAACTGCCGGAACACAATGCTGTTAACATTGTTGTTATGGCGACAGACTTTGGTAAGATGGTGTTAGCTAGCCAGGCGGACTTAGAACAAGTCCTACCACCCACCAAACCGAACAGAAAAATCTGCCCCCACTGGGAATCGAACCCGGGACCTCTGCATCTGAAGCAGGTGGTCTTACCACTAGACATTAGGATGTCCATCAATATAATTCTATTGGATGATGATTGAACATCGCGGAAACAAGACAAGGTAGCAGAAATGGGGATCATTTCGACCAATCGTTTTATTTTGTAATACTCATTTATCACAAGCATCTCGGTACTTTGAAGTCACTCTATCTATTTTATCTACTCAATTACTTATGCCAATAAAAACTTTATAACAATAAATGAAACATTAATTTATAAAAATACATATTTTTTTATTACACTGAACTTTAGAATTTGTACATCAATCAATGACCAAAGTTCTAAAAAAACGTTTTATCTCCCATTGTTTTAAGCTATGTACGCTTACATTCATGTTCCACAACAAGGCATGTCAAAATCAAAAATGTATTAATTTGGTAATTATCATTTACCTATAATATGTTGTTGTCTTGCTTAATCATATCAGATGCTTTCTCAGCGATCATGATGGTGGGAACGTTGGTGTTCCCGGTGGTGATGAAGGGCATGACGCTGGAGTCCACCACCCTCAGTCGGTTCATCCCGCGCACGCGCAACCGGCTGTCCACCACGGAGCCCATCGCGCACGTGCCCACGAAGTGGAACGTGCTACTGACAATACAGCGCGCGTAGCACGTCCAGTACTCACGGCTCCCCTCTTCAAAGTCCTCGCAACTCGGCAACGTTACCAGTTTTCCGCCAACACTCTTGATATAACTCGTATTAGCAATCCGACCTATATTTTGCACATAACTCACTGTATTTTCCAAATCGTCTCCTTCATACGGTCGGATACTAATCGATGGATTCTCTTTCGGATCCAAACTCTTTAATGAGATTACTCCCCGTGATTGAGGTTTAAGGTTTGATATTCCTATGTACACAACTTTACTGCCTTTCAATTTATTATAAAAATATTCACAAACATTATCGTTAAAATGAAACATTATGCACGTTGAAACATATCCTTGATCGTTGATACTTTGTGTGAGGACCTGGAAATCAGGTGATGTTGCTGATGCATTAAGCGACACATGTCCTGTTGGCAAAGCAGCAGAATAAGCGTGAGGATCTACAGGCATTGTTGTTGAATTATTAGTATCTGGTATGCTTATCAGTAATGATACAACGTGGTGGTTTTGCAAATTCTCCCCCACGGGAATATCTACGATCACTTCTATACCTAAACTTTGCAAATGTTCTTTTGGGCCGATCCCAGATAGTAACAGCAGCTGTGGACTGTTTACGGATCCAGCCGAAATTATAACTTCTTTTCTTGCGTTAATTGTAAAAGTATTATTATCATTATCAGTCACTACAACGCCTGTTGCAGTTTTTTCATCAATTTCCACCTTGATTGCGAGGGTGTTCTTCAAAACGTGTAAATTAGGGCGACTTTTGATGGGAGACAAAAATGCGTTGGCTGTACTTTGACGAAGACCGCTTGCAAATGTCACCAGTTGCTCACTGAATCCTATATTATCAAACCCATTTATATCTCGGACAAACTTGTATCCCAGTTCCTCGAAAACTTCCTTGAATTTTTCCGAATCACTATTATTGACCTTGGTTACTCTAAGATATCCATTAGTGCCATGAAAAAATCTATCAAGAGAATTGAGAATATCGGCATCTTCAAGTCGTTCACTTTTTTTGAAATATTTTAGAATATTGTTGTAATTCCAAGACGGATCATTTACAACTCTGGCCCATGAGTTGAAAATTTCGGGATGTCCACGAACATAATACATTCCGTTGATACTGCTGCAGCCGCCCAACATTTTGCCTTGGTGTGCGCGGTACCTGTTGTCCACTTGACATGGAAATGCTTCTTGATTCTTATCTGTCGTGTAAGTCCAATCTACGTGTGAATTTAGGATGTATGGGTATAGACCTGCAAGCTTAAGAAAGTATAAATTAAATTACGATTTGAGTCGCAATCTGGTAAAGCTATAAAAATTATAATATTTACATTGGATTCTATAGGCGGGTCGGGGCCTGCCTCTATCAGCAGCACCGTCACCCTCGGGTCTTCTGTGAGCCTGTTGGCCAGCACGCTGCCTGCCGAGCCCGCGCCCACGATCACAAAGTCAAATGTTGCTCCATCTATAAAGTATTGTTTAATATTTAGTTGTTTCCATTTTCGTTTTTATATCACCAAGCAGATTAGCTTTATGCTTAGTATCTTAGCATTTATTAATTATTTTTAATATTTTAATCATTTTTTTGCTATTATCATCCTACAGCAGACCACTGCTCTAAGACACAAGCCTTACCCCAATAACTGTTGATTAATTTATCTTTAAAATAAGCAAAATATGTGCGCATTTGTGATTTTTGACTAATACGACTAACTGTGTATGACAAAAAGATAAGGAAATATTTGAGAAGACCAGATAGAAATTGTCCTTACCTCGTATGCCAGAATCTGATGGAGGATATCTGAAAGCGGTGAGCTGCAACTCTGCCAGCGTGGACAAGGCATATTGTATTCTCGCGACGTTTGCCACAAACTCTTCCACGAACATTTTTATACATCAGACCACTAAAACTTAAGTTATATTTATGTGCCTGTTAAAGTACGAGGTTAGCAATACTAGTGTGTGGAGTCCAAATCAATTTTTTTTCAGTGGCCCCTCACAAGATGCCTATAATAATTATTATGAACAATTTTATCGGGTTTATAGGTATTTAACTTGGGAATTGCATGGAACCGAATGAAAGCCATAAGTAATTAAAACAGTTATGCAGTAAATATCATTATTACCTACAATTATACGGGATAGAGCTATAAATGCGATTGTACCGTCTGTTTGTTATATTTTCAGATCTACTAACCTCTAAATTAAATTTCATTCACTAGTCTTTCACCGATAAAATGCGTTTCCTAAAGCATTAAGAATGTTTTAGATTAGTTAAGTTTTACGAACACATTGCTTTCTGTACTGTCATCGAGGGTGAAGCCGGGGCTCAAGCGGCTATTACAATCGTGATACATTAAACAGTAATGAATATTTTATTGGGCTAATGAATAATAATATAATTATCTTGGCCAACTTGCAGGATAATTTTGAGATAAGGTTTGTGGTCTGCATTCTCGGAATTTTACAAAACTTACTTTAATCTTTAACCTTACGATTATTTCTGAAAAGTGTTTTGATTTTGATAACTACACGACATTGACCACAATGACCGTGGTTAGTTACGCGACATTCGTAAAATAAGTACCAGTATCTAATCACCCTCCAAACTTGGTCCTTGTTTAAAATATAAATATTGATAGAAATGTAATGAGTAGATTTACCCATTACTGCCCAGTGTCAACAAAAAATTCAATAAACAGCTAAGGCCCGGTTTTTTGATTCGTAGTTAAATTAACCAATAGTCAAATTTGACAGATGTCAAATGACAAGTGGTTAAATATCAGAAAAAAATGTTTCTCGAACAATGGTTAGCTTGACTTTTAGTACATTTTTTAACTATTAGTTAACATTTTGTTAATATTTAACCATTAGTAACAAAATTTAACAATTTGTTATTTTAACTACGAATCAAAAAACTGGGCCTAAGTAAATTATAAACCATAGTCATAAATTGGCACTCTTTCTCTTAAAATGTAGACAAAAATGTTACTAAGACCACAGAAATGAAGGTCGCGCCACACCTGAGATTTTTTTAAAAAAGATTATTAGTTAGTTATATGTGTTTTTCGCATAGAGATGCCAACTATGCGCTGAGTTCGAAACTTAATGTCGCATTAGAAATTCACACACACAAAGTAATCAAAACATGTGCTCATTATCCACTGCGGTATCAGTACTCAACTTTCAAATCATCTTTAGTACTTACGCAAGAAATGTAAACTGTCTACATTATGACATCGCTGCTGACATCAACAACAATGTGTTCTGTTTTTGGGCATATTGCTGCGACACCGGCCCCGCCCCCTTGTCACATCTACTTTAGTTTCTGTGATCTGTGGTTTTTCCCTATTTGTGGCAGACTTACGCCCGTATTCACAAACGATTGTTGCTTGTGAAGCAGCAAATCGAACGCACAGCGTTGAATAGAGCTCTGTGTAACTGTGTGTCACCCTGTGCGTCCTCGCGCACTGTAAGGCCTCCTAGTAATGTTTGTGAATACGGGCGTTTATAATTAAGAATAAGAATAAGAATAAGAAAAACTTTATTTGACACAAAAGAAAACAAAAAAACAGAACAAAGGGACTTAAAACTACACGCATATTTTGTGCCAAAAAGGCGCCCGCTCAGCATTAATCGAGCCACGCGTGCATGCACGCGTGCTCCGACACTGGTTTTCAGCGGGTGTAATTATGTGTGGTACAAGTCGAAAAGAAACCAACAATGCAACATCTAAAACAGAGTTAAGTCAAGATTTTATGAGGTAAAGCAGAGGAGTGACTTACTGAAATTGATTAATGCTATCAGCACAGAATAAATAATAGTAGTACCTACTATCAGGTAGGATGTATTTTTAAAATAATGATAAAATATGATTGACTCTGGCGCAATCGAGTAATAATTCCATAAAACAATTGTAAGTGTTTATTTTACAGTTTTAAAATCAATATAACAATCTTTATCCCAAGTTAGTATCGCTATCGAAAAATCTTAATAATGTATGTAGGAAAGATCAATCGCATGAGCTAGAAATATTATGATTAGCCAATTTATTTCATTGACATATAACTGAAAATTACAATTAACACGTTACACCTTTAACAATTAAATTGAAAATTTTAATAACAACTGAAGTAGTACGTAAGTACTACCAAAATGATAGAGACAATAATTTGTATTAAACTTGTTAACTTTACACCCTCCTACAAACACGCATATTATTGTCTTCTTTGATCATATCAGCGGCTTTCTCCGCAATCATTATAGTGGGCGCATTCGTGTTCCCACTGGTGATGGTGGGCATGACGCTGGCGTCCACCACGCGCAGCTTCTCCACGCCGCGCACGCGCAGCCGGCTGTCCACCACGGAGCCCATAGCACTGGTCCCCACAAAGTGGTACCCAGAACTGACCATACATTGCACGTAACACTTCCAATACTCTTTACTTCCCACTACAAAGTCCTCACAGCTAGGTAATGTTACTAACTCCGCACCAATATTCTTCATATAAGTCGTATTAACAATCCTAACGATGTCTTCTACGTTCCTGATCGCATCTTCTAAATCACTTTCTTCCAAAAATGGCTTCAAAGTAATTAAAGGACTCTCTCTCGGGTCCAAACTTTTTAGTGAAACTCTTCCACGAGTTTTAAATTTAAAACTTGCCACTGCTATATTTAAAACTTTTTTATCTTTTAGCTCATTATAGAAATATTCACAAGTTTTGTTATCAAAATTAAATACCACAAGGTTTGCAGTAAATCCAGCAGCGTCTACTACTTGCAACGCTGCTTGGTAATCAGGAGAACTTCCATTTTTTGTCAGGTACCCTGTGGCCAATAATGAGTTATAGACGTAAGGATTTACAGTTTTAGGCGTCGTTTCTGCACTCGGCATTTTGATAGCCAAAAATATATATTGATGATTTTGCAGACTATATCCTACAGGAAGATCTGCTATCACGGTCATTTTAAATCTCTCTAAATGTTCTTTTGGACCAATACCGGATAAAATAAGTAGTTGTGGTGTGTTTATAGCCCCTGCTGATAATATGACTTCTTTGTTTGCTTTGACTGTCAAAGTTTTATTATTGTTGTCAGTTACTACCACACCTGTAGCTTTATAATTGTCTATAATAACTCTTGTTGCAAAAGTATTTTTCAAAACATGTAGATTTGGACGGTGTTTTATTGGAGATAGGAAAGCGTTAGCTGTACTTTGCCGTAGACCATCAGCAAGCGTTACTAATTGTTCAGAAAATCCAATATACTGATCACCATTTATATCAGGGAATAATTTGTAGCCAATTTCCTTAAACACATCCTTGAAATGTTTCATTTCACTGTTCATTACTTTGGTGATTTTCATGTAACCATCAGTTCCGTGATATTTTCGATAACGTGAATGTAATATTGCTGGATCTTCCAGACGTTCGCTTTTTTTGAAATATGGGAGCACATTTGCGTAGTTCCACGAAGCATCTTTGGTGATTGCGGCCCATGAGTCGTAGTTTTCAGGAACTCCCCGTACATAATACATGCCGTTGATACTACTACTTCCTCCTAAGACTTTGCCATGATCTACGGGGTACTTGTGATTCCGCAAGCATTGATACGCATGATCATCTGGTTCAGTTTCATGATTCCAGTTCAGATATGACGATTCAGCATAAATCATCAGTCCTGGAATCTGTAAAAAAAAAGAAAATAAATACACAATTATTATAATAATTAAAAAGAAAACGTGCCAAAATTGGCACTTGATCGCTCATTTTACCTATCCTGACTGCTTTGGAAGCATGATAATGATATTAATAAATCTGACGTGTTCCATACTTAAACTAGATTCTAAACTTTAAATAAATTGCCGTGTTTGTCATCAGCCCACATTATAAAATGGATGCGTTTCACAAGATTTTTATTAATTCAATTACTAGTTTTTGAAACACAATTTTATTAACCTTATTTATAGTATAGCACATACTAGCTATGTAATACTTGATGGCAAATAAAAAAATGATATAATTATGCTTTTATGGGAAAAGCCAACAATTAGAGGGGAGATTTCATGGCCAGCATGCCCATGCATGGCCATGACCAGTTACTTACATTGCACTCAATGGGTGGGTCAGGACCAGCTTCTATCAGCAGCACCGTCACCCTCGGGTCCTCTGTGAGCCTATTGGCCAGCACGCTGCCTGCCGAGCCCGCGCCCACGATCACGAAGTCAAACGACGCTCCATCTGGAATTCATAGTATTCCTAATAATAAATACTACTACTTATACCTAGTAGGAGGCCTGCCCATACTACGTCTTCCGGCCCGTGGACTCTTTTCTGACCCAATGACCACCAGTTCTACGAGCTACCCATTCGGAACTGGCGAATGTCGCGGGAAGCACTTGGATGCGGACAGCGCAGGACCGGTCATTGTGAAAATTCTTGGCCCTTGTCCAGCAGTTTACGTCATTTGGCTGAAACGCACTACTTATACCAAAATTTTGTTAAGAATTAACTACGTATGATAAAAATATAAAGGGACACAGACACGTCGTAATTTTTAGTGAAGCGATTCTTTGGCTGTAAAAATATTCCTTTTATGTTAATTTTTAGAATTGTAAGCGGAAATACTAAGATTCGAAAAAAACGATAAATAGTTTAAAAAAAATAATTACCAAGGCACCAAAAAGGTTTGCGCTTAGATGAAGCCGTGATCGCGATGTAAAGATGTTACATACATAATATCAGTGCATACTTACTATATACAGTCCCTTGAGGAGGATAGCGGTAAGCAGTCAGCTGCAGCTGGGATATTGTGAACAACGCTTGCTGCATGCTAGCAACGTAGGACAAAAACTCGGCCACGTACATGACACTTTACAAAAACTTTCCTTCTGCGGCGAACGACTCTCAAATTTCGGCGATTTGGTAGCTTGGTTTAGCTGTGTAAATTAAATTAAAAAAGTAATTTCGTAATATCGCAAACAACTTCATAAAGATGACGATACTTATAAAATGAAGTCAGAAGTCATAAATATTTTTTTAATCACGATTCTACTTTCAAACCGCAGTACTGTCTTTATTAGTTGCAGTCAACTGCAGTTCTGCCAATAAAATCTCAACTAGTGAAGGCCAAGCTTATCCTAGAAAAAAATTATACTGCGGGTTAATATTAGTGGCCTCGAAACGAAATTAATCAATAGAAAATAGGACGTCTTATGTGTCAGAAATAAAATAATATAAAATTTTATAACAATTTTGGAAGAGAGGGTGGTAATAACTAAGTTGCTTCTTCTCTACATTATAATCATTATATCCACATAAAAAGTGCTCTTTAAATGATTCATTTTATTTTAAACAAATAGAAAACAAGGAAACAATAAAGTAAATAGTAAGGTAAATACATAAGTAGTAAGAAAAACAAAAAATATGGAATCTATTAAGTTATTTTTAGTGAGGGATGTTATTGTCCTCCTTGATCATGTCAGCGGCTTTCTCGGCGATCATGATGGTGGGCGCGTTGGTGTTGCCGCTGGTGATGGTGGGCATGACGCTGGCGTCCACCACGCGCAGCCTCTCCACGCCGCGCACGCGCAGCCGGCTGTCCACCACGGAGCCCATGGCGCACGTGCCCACTTGGTGGTACAGCGTGGTCACCAGGCACCGAGCGTAACATCGCCAGTAAGCTTTGCTGCCAGCAGGGTAGCTTGCACATTTTTCCAATTCTAATAACTCTGAATCTACACTCTTGAAGTACGTTGTGTTAATAACCCGGGAATAATCCTCTAAATACTTTATTACATCTTCTAAATCACGTTCATCTGAATATGGCTCTGTGTAAATAAAGGGATGTTCTTCAGGGTCAGTGCTTTTTAAAAGTAGCTGTCCCCTAGATTTGGGGCGAACAATCGTCAGCGCAGTTATCATAACTTCTCTATTTTTGCTTTTATCGTAAAATTTCTGACAAATATCTGCATCAAATGAGAATGCAATGACACATACTGAAAGTAGAATATCTGAACCTCCGATAAGTATGTGTGATTGATAATCTGGGTACGACTGATTTTTTTCCAATGCTACAAAGCCAATAATATCTTTATTGGGATATTCATGAGGATTGACAGGCAAGGTGATGGGTGCCGGTCCGGTAACATGATACAATGTCACTAGCTTGTGATCTTGTAAATTTTCTCCAACAGGAAGATCAGAAACTACATTTATTCCCAAATCTTCCAGATGATCTTTAGGACCAATCCCAGAAAGGATCAGTAACTGAGGGCTGTTAATTGCCCCACCTGATACAATGATTTCCTTTTTTGCTTTTAATGTTATTATTTGGCCCTTGTCGTTATTCACATTCACACTCACAGCTACTTGGTTTTCGAAATTGATCTTAGTTACCAAGTGGTGCCTCAGGACGTAAAGGTTAGATCGATGAAGCGCCGGTGTCAAAAAAGCGTTCGCTGTACTTTGGCGAATACCATCGGCTATTGTAAATTGTGGCTCCATGAATCCTAGTGTATGGTTCCCATTAGTGTCTAACACAGTGTCATATCCGAGCTCTTGAAAAGAATCCAAATACTTTTTTGTTTCGCTGTTATTTAATTGTGTTACACCCAAATATCCGTTAGCACCATGAAAAATACCGGTTGGGGAATCCAAAATGGCAGTGCTTTCCATTCTTTCACTTTTAATGAAATAAGGTAAAACGTCATTGTAGCTCCAGCTTTGATCATTCGTGATACGCGCCCAAGTGTCATAATCATGTGGGCTTCCTCTGACGTAAAACATAACGTTCATGCTGCTGGAACCACCTAGCATTTTGCCTCGTGGTAATTGATCCACGTTATTGATGTGACATTTATATGGAGAGCATGGTTTGTTGGCAGCAGTGTAGTTCCAGTCATTTTGAGTTCTAAATCCATAGGAGTATAAAGCCGGGAGCTAGAACGGAAAGAATTTTCAGTCGATTAAATAATCAATGTCAAATTATAATAAAAGGGACAGTTACCTATGATGACACAAAAGTACATGACGTTATCGATTTGTCGTCTTTTTCAAGATTTGTCGAGATTTCAATCTATGATGTTGATATGAAGCTATATTATTTTCAAAGCACAAATGGCAAGGTGAACTTACATTGGACTCTACAGGCGGGTCCCCGCCAGCCTCCACCAGCAGCACCGTCACCCTCGGGTCCTCGCTGAGCCTGTTGGCCAGCACGCAGCCCGCCGAGCCCGCGCCCACCACGATGAAGTCGAACACAGCCCCATCTGGTGGTTGATATACAGAAAATTATGGACTGTCTTACTTATGTCGTCAGAAAACATCCTGAAATATTTAAGATGACTTATGACTTTAGAATTGATTGATTCTTGAATACAATGTCAAGAAACTTACGTGTTGGAACATAGTCTTATCTGCAAAACTATACTTACGAGAAAAAGTATGGAATCATCCCCTTGTACTTTGTTCCTAGCCATCATAAGAACTGAATGCCTATGAAAGCATCTATGGTGTTTAGGATTTCAAATAAGAGTCCTTTTTTACATAAGGATTAGTTTAATCTTCATATGTGCTGCGTTTACAATGGTAAAATGTAGAAAAATACGAGCTACGCGCTCGAGGATTCGATCCAAAGATAAAGATGGCCGGACGACGCGCTAGTGATGTTCTTTACTTCCTGTTTGGAGGCATTGGCGATAGTGACGTCCGGCGTGGGGTGAAAAAGGTCCTCTTATTTGAAATCCTAAACATGGATTTTGGCGACCGCGACGAAATGAAGAAATGAACAAGTTATGAACTCCAAGGAAAGATGAACAAGCAACTTGCAAGCAACTTCGGTTTGGGTGCAATGGGATAAAAGGAGACTGCTTCGGAGCCTGCTGAATATTTGGGAGGTCGTTCCAACCGGGAAGTAGCCCTATTCCTTCTATATCCCCTCCTAAACTTTAGTGTACCTACGTTTTGTGTGAATAGCATCTTGTTCATCTTGCTAAGTTTTTTGCCTACTATTACTGCAAGTCTACTATCATGTCACTGCAAATCTAACTATTTACATAGTCGAAAAACACGTAGCTCGTCGTGGGTTTTCTTTTATTTGCACTACAAGTTTCAAGAATAAGTTCAAGCCTATTTTCACCTATTTTTCGCATTTTGAGAAGCATTGCCTATCTTCTAATTTAATTTAAAGCATTGTGTGTACGTTCCTACCTATTTTGCCTGAAAGATTTACTCATTTTCCTTGAAATTTGCTGAAAATAAAATAACCTGTAAATACACGTGCATTGGTAAAAGTCTAATTCTATCGCAATTTTCAGTGGTTTCCTGTGGCTACTGTAATAAAGTAAGCTGCTACAGCCCTGCTGCACGCGGTAGGAGCGCCTGGCACGTGGGATTTCGACTGCATCTGGACCTAGATTCAAAACTGTCCCCGTCNAGGCGTCCGTTTTGAAGATTTCTGTCTTTGTGTCACCAATGGTAAGGACGCCATTTTTGACTGAGCATTGAACTTTTTTCTCCTTGGGATTACTGGAAAAGATGCCGAAACGAGCTGAAGGCTCGATTCCGATTCTTACGCTGGCGCTATCTAGTGCCTTTCTGGCTAAGTTTGGCAGGAACTTAGCCAAGAACGTTCGCTGAACGGTTTCGTAGGCGGATTCTGTAGGGTACTTGGCCATTCGACTGGCGATGCGCAGGAGTTGCCTGGTGGAGAGTGAGGAAGAGAGGTTTTTGAGAGTGCTGTCCTGTGAACTTCGGAGCTCGTCTGCTAGGTTTATTATGGAGTGGAGAGGGGTTGATATGTCTCCGTACTGCAATAAGATGAATTACAAATTAAGAATAAGAATAATAATGTCTTTATTCAGCACAATATATGGTATACAAAGCAAGAGTAAACATAAAAATAAATAAAAACATATGCTGAATAAGCGCCTGTTCGCGCAGTGCGCTTACAACCTTTTTTCACCCCTCGCCGGACGTCACTATCGCCAATGCCTCCAAACAGGAAGTAAAGAACATCACTAGCGCGTCGTCCGGCCATCTTTATCTTTTGGATCGAATCCTCGAGCGCGTAGCTCGTATATTTTCTACCTTTTACCATTGTAAACGCAGCACATATGAAGATTAAACTAATCCTTATGTAAAAGGGACTCTTATTGAAATCCTGAACATGGATTTTGGCTAGAAAAAGACTGTGCAAAAATTGTTTATTGCCAGGTCACAACTCTTTTATATGTCAGCTCAAGGGTGGTTGTCGCACATGCAAGAGAAAACATAATACACTTTTACACAAAAATTCAAATGTTACAATGTCAAGTCAATCCACAAATGAACCTACAGTTCACCAGTCATTACCAGTGTCATTATCTGCGGTGTCTATGGGTCAAGTTTTGTTGTGTACTGCCATTGTTGAAGTTATTGTTAATAACAAGACCTACACTGCTCGTGCTTTGCTTGACACTGGTAGTCAATCTTCATTTGTAACCAACGGGTTAATTCAACGAATGGGCCTAACTGGCAAACCTAATAAGTCAATAAACATTTGTGGTATAAACAATGTGAAATGTGAAGTGAATGAAAGTTATGCGTTAAAAGTGAAATCACTCATTAATTCTTTTGAGTTCAATACAAGATTTTTAGTTATTCCTCGCATTACTGGACTATTACCAAACTCCAAAGTTAATATTGACAATTTACAGCTGCCACTCAATATCAAGCTCGCTGACCCACAGTTTCATTTACCATCAGAAGTGGACATGCTATTGGGTGCGGATGTTTATTGGCAAATTATTGATAATAAAGTGATTAAATTAGGTGCTAACAAACCTGTGCTGCAAGATTCAAAGTTAGGATGGCTAGTGGCTGGTCCATTATCTGTATCATCTCCTCCTACTAAAACACAACAAGTTTATTGCAATTTTACACAAGAGATTCGCGACTCACTAGAAAGGTTTTGGCACATTGATGACCTCCCAACTTCAAAGACTTACTCTTTGGAGGAAAAACTTTGTGAGTCACATTTTGTAGACACTGCTACTCGTTTACCTAATGGTAGGTTCAGTGTTCAGATGCCTATGAAAGAAAGGCCTGAACAAGCGTTAACTGATAACTTTTATACTGCCAAAGCGTGTCTAGACAATTTAACTAAGAAACTTGACAAACAACCTTCATTAAAACAAAAATACAAGGATTTTTTAAAGGAGTATGCAGACTTAGGACATTTGAGTAAAGTTGAACGACCTACTTTTGGCTATTATATGCCACATCATGCTATTTTAAAGGAAAAAAGTGAAACAACCAAATTGCGGACTGTTTTTAATGCTTCATCTAAAACCAAGTCAGGTTTGTCATTAAATGACATACAATTAGTTGGACCAGTGATACAAAGTGATTTAATTTCTATTTTAATGAGGTTCCGCCAATTTAAGTACATCCTTGTAGGTGACATTGAAAAGATGTACCGCCAAATTGAAATAGATCAGTGTCAGCGTCATTTGCAACTGATTCTTTGGCGTGAGGAAAGGGATCAGCCACTCCAAGTTTTACAACTGAATACCGTCACATACGGTACTGCTTCTGCACCATTTCTAAGTACTCGTTGTCTTCTGCAGTTAGCTCTAGAGTGTCCTGATAGTGTAGTGGCTGATGTGATCAAACATGATTTTTATATGGACGACCTAAATACCGGTTCTGATACTATTGATGGTTTCAAACATATTGCTGACGGAGTAATTAAAGTTCTAAATTCTGCCTGTTTGCCTCTGCGTAAATTGCGCACTAATTGCTCAGAGTTATTTGAAAATGAAAGCAATATTTCTGATGCTCTTGATCTTTACAAAGAATCCAGTGTGTTAGGTCTTAATTATTCACCTAAATCTGACACATTTCAATTTTCTACTGATCTTCAACTAAATTCTAATGTAACTAAAAGAATAGTTATTTCTACTACATGCAAGATATTTGATCCATTGGGCTTATTGAGTCCCTGTGTAATTATAGCAAAGATTTTACTTCAGCGATTGTGGAATGCAAAGTTAGGTTGGGACGATCCAGTTCCTGATTCTTTCACAAAAAACTGGTGTAAACTTATAAGTGAATTTCCAATTTTATTTACCATTCAAATTCCAAGACATGTTTTATGTGATTCACCTATAGTAATTGAACTGCATTGTTTTGTTGATGCATCTGAGCAAGCCTACTCTGCTTGTGTTTATTTGCGCTCTGAAAGTGTTGATGATAACATTTTGATAAGGCTGTTGTGTGCTAAAGCCCGAGTTGCACCAATTAAACCACTGACTATTCCACGACTCGAGTTGTGTGGAGCATTGTTAGGTGCGCGATTGTCCACAAAAGTTTTGCAAGCTTTAAGATGTAACATTAATCGCAAGTATCTTTGGACTGACTCTACAGTTGTGTTAGGTTGGTTGAAAGCACAAACTAGTGACCTAAAAACCTTTGTGTGCAATCGTGTCAATGAGATTAATGAGTTGGCATCGGATTTTACTTTCAATCATGTACCTACCCATGAAAACCCTGCTGACATGGCGTCCAGGGGCGTAGATCCAAAATCATTGCAAACTTCTCCTCTTTGGTGGGAAGGGCCTACATTTCTCAAATCTAAGTCGTGCGAATGGCCTAAGCAATCACACAACAAAATTCCAAGTAATTTGCCAGAATTAAAGAATAAAGTACCTAAGTCTCTCCAATGTCTGGTAGGGACTCAAACTGGTTTTGACAATTTTATACAATTTGAAAAGTATTCAAGTTACATGCATTTGAAAAGAACCTATGCCTATTTGTTGCGTTTTGTAAACAATTGTAATAAAAGTAACCCTAAATTGACTGGCCCATTAGAGGTCGAAGAATTGAACAAATCTTTACTACTTTTAGTCAAACAAAGTCAAGCACAGTCTTTTTCTACTGAAATTAATGATATTTTAAGTAACAAACCTTTGCATCATAATTCAAAACTGCTCTCACTCGCTCCTTTTATTGATTCTAATGGCATTTTGAGGGTGGGAGGCAGAATGGTAAGTTCAAATTTTGATTATGACAAGAAGCACCCCATGATCCTAGACGCCAAGCACCACTTAGCTAAATTAATATTAACTCACGAACATGTTCGCCTATTCCATGCTGGTGCTCAATCTCTTTTGGCATCAATAAGAGAACAATTCTGGCCTATAGGTGGCAGGTGTCTGGCACGCAGTATTACTAAGCGATGCTTAATTTGTACTAGATTTCGAGGTAAAACATTGCAACCTATAATGGGTAGTTTACCCACTGAAAGGACTATTGCTACATTCCCATTCTACTCGTGTGGTGTTGACATGGCTGGACCCTTCTTAATTTCAAGTAAAAAGGGCAGAGGAAGTCGAACCTCAAAATGTTACCTATGTTTGTTTATTTGTCTGTCATCAAAAGCGTTACATCTTGAACTTGTTAGCGACATGAGCACAGAAGCATTCATCCTATCGTTGAGAAGGTTTATTTCTAGACGGGGAAAACCTGGTATAATCTATTGTGATAATGGGAGCAATTTTAAAGGCGCTAACAATGAATTAGGTAAACTTCTAAGGTCCAGTCGTAAGTCTGTATCCCATTTTGCCAATGACGAAGGCATTAAATTTGTCTTCAGTCCCGCATATTCTCCTCATTTTGGGGGAATATGGGAGGCTGGAGTCAAATCGGCTAAACACCACCTTAAGCGCGTTGCTGGCAATGCTTCTCTGACGTTTGAGGAGTTAGCAACGCTATTCACACAGATCGAGGCTATACTGAATTCCCGTCCCCTTACTCCACTGTCCTCCGATCCTACTGACCCGTCTCCTTTGACTCCTGGGCACTTCCTAATCGGGCGACCTCTCACAAGCATACCGAGCCTACCCATCACCGCTAAGAACCCAACCCGATATCTGCGCATCGAGCAATTGCGACAACACTTCTGGGACCGATGGCGCCGGGAGTTCATAGCGGAATTGCAACTTAGAACCAAATGGAAGAGGCGGCAGCAAGACCTACATGTCGGAGACCTCGTGATTCTAAAGGAAGAAAACTTACCTCCACTTCACTGGCGATTGGCACGGATCAGTCGTCTTTATCCTGGACCTGATGGCATCAGCAGAGTTGCAGACGTTCTCACCAACAAAGGCACGATCAGGAGAGCCATAAACAAGATGTGCATAATACCTGCAATCCAAGAAGAAACCAAGGAAGGAGTTCCAATCACATCATCGTAGTCTGTACCTTGAGCGTCAGCTGAGCCAATGATGTCTGCATCAGGAATCCTGCAATCAAGTTGAAAGCGGCACCTGCTTTCAACGCCCCCGAAGATGTTCGCGCAGTGCGCTTACAACCTTTTTCACCCCACGCCGGACGTCACTATCGCCAATGCCTCCAAACAGGAAGTAAAGAACATCACTAGCGCGTCGTCCGGCCATCTTTATCTTTGGATCGAATCCTCGAGCGCGTAGCTCGTATTTTTCTACATTTTACCATTGTAAACGCAGCACATATGAAGATTAAACTAATCCTTATGTAAAAAAGGACTCTTATTTGAAATCCTAAACATATGGTATTAATTTAAAGTATATAAATCACCTTTAAAATGGTTAAAAAAATATTTTTCTTCTATAAGTCGTTTAGTTTTTACGATCGTTCATAACAAACAGGGTGATTCCATACTTTTGCTCGCAAGTGTACTTAAGTCTATTGACACCGATTACATTATAGCAAAAACAAACTGCATGTACGTAGGTATGATTGTATGTATTGTGATAGGTAATTCATTTAGACTTTTTTCAAAACTAAAAAAATAATTAAAAAACAATAACTTATTAAGTTATTTTAAGACTATACAAAGGAAGTAGACTCCGACTCCAGCTAGTATAGTCCATTCTGCGGTTCGAATTGTCCATGACGCGTCCGAGCGGGGTTTCTAAACTGTCTTAATGAATCACAGGTTACTTCTTACTTAGCTACCTTACCTTTAACATTAGCTTGCTCGGGATATCGATAGGCGGTCAGATTGAGTACTGATAATACCCTCAATGCATTCTGTATGCTGGCTGCCTGTTTGAGGGTGTTCACTACCTCCATTTTGTGTCACGTCTGCCGGAACACTGAATATAATGCATGTTTAATACCTAGCTTAATTTCTTTTATAGAAAATAATTGTTTATGTAAGTGGATTTCTGGCAGAATCATTTTAATTAACATACGATAATCCTGTTTGCTTATTATGCATTTATAACAGCAAGTAAACCTACTGTTTTTTTTAATTTAGACTTTGAGCTCTAGAAGTAGGTTCGATATTTTTTTACAACAAATGTCAAAGTGCCTACTTACCCAACTAAAAATAGGAATACAAAAATTAGAAGTCATTATTTTAATTTATTAATTGTTTTTTATGGGTACCTATGATAAGCAGTTAGAACACAAAGAAAAGCAAAAACCTCTATAGTTCATTAAACTGTACATCACACATTATGTATTAAGGTTCGTTTTGGATGGTATTGTCCTCCTTGATCATGTCAGCGGCTTTTTCGGCGATCATGATGGTGGGCGCGTTGGTGTTGCCGCTGGTGATGGTGGGCATGACGCTGGCGTCCACCACGCGCAGCCTCTCCACGCCGCGCACGCGCAGCCGGCTGTCCACCACGGAGCCCATGGCGCACGTGCCCACTTGGTGGTAAAATGTGGTAACTAAACACTGAGCGTAACACCGCCAGTAAGCTTTGCTGCCAGCAGGGTAGCTCGAACATTTTTCCAGCTCCAAGAATTCTGCTTTAACTTTCTTGAAATACGTCGTGTTAATAATCCGGGAATAATCTTCTATATACCTTACAACACTTTCTAGATCACTCTCATCAGAATATGGCTCTGTGTAGATTAATGGATATTCTTCAGGATCTGTGCTTTTTAAAAGCAGCTGCCCCCTAGATTTCGGTTGCATAGCAGTTAAGAAAGTTATCATTACTTTTTTATATTTGCTTCTATCATGAAAACTCTGACAAATATCACTATCAAATAAAAATAAAAGATTACACACTAAAAGTGTGGTTTCTGCACCTCCAGTAATGATTATTGTTTGATAATCAGGATAGGTTTGATTTCTTTCCAATGTTACAAAGCCAATCATATTATCTTCAGTAGGGTATTCATGTAGGTTAATAAACTTGAAAATGGGCGCCAGTCCTGCTGTATGATATAATGTTACTAACTTGTGATCTTGTAAATTTTCTCCCACGGGAAGATCAGAAACGACATTTATTCCTAAATCTTCCAGATGATCTTTAGGTCCAATCCCTGATAACATTAGTAGTTGAGGACTGTTGATAGCTCCACCTGATAATATTATTTCTTTTGTTGCTTTTAATGTCATTGTTACTCCTTCGTCACTTTTTATATTCACACTTACAGCAACTTGGTTTTCGAAATTGATCTTTGTTGCCAGATGGTTTTTGAGAACATAAAGATTGGGTCGGTTTTTTATTGGTGACAAAAAAGCATTTGCTGTGCTTTGGCGTATACCATCAGCCATAGTAAATTGCGGCTCTGTAAATCCTAATGTATAATTACCATTGGTATCAAGTACGGTATTGTACCCAAGTTCTTGAAAAGCATCGAAATATTTGTTTGTTTTGCTATCATGTACTTTCGTCACACCCAAATATCCGTCAGCACCATGAAACCTGCCGGTGGGAGATTCTAAAACAGCAGCAGTTTCCATTCTTTCACTTTTGATGAAGTAAGGCAAAACGTTGTTGTAACTCCAGCTTTGATCGTTCGTGATATTAGCCCAAGTGTCATAATTGTTTGGGTCCCCTCGTACGTAATACATGAAGTTGAGGCTGCTTGAACCACCTAGCATTTTGCCTCGTGCTAAATGATCCACGTTGTTAACATGACATTTATATCCAGAGCATGATGCGTTAGTAGAAGTAGTGTAGCTCCAGTCGCTTTGAGTTCGTAAACCAACGCCCATTAAGGCCGGTAGCTGAAACGAGGCAATTTCCATTAGATTGAAAATATTGCTATGTTAAATTATTAAATACTAGCGGCCGCCCGCGACTTCGTACGCGTGGATCCCGTTTTACCCCCTTGATCTATCTTACGCGGTTTAGATTTTTTCATACAAATGTTTTTTCCCGCTAACTCCCGTTCCCGTGGGAATTTTGCAATATCCTGTTGTAACTAAGCTTTAAGTTTACTAAGGTACCTGCATGCCAAATTTCAAGCGTCTAACTTAAGCGGTTTAGATTTTTCAAACAAAAGGATTTTCCCGCTAATTCCCGTTCCCGTGGGAATTCCTAAGTATACTATAACCTGCCCAGAAGTATGAAGAATAATTGTACCAAATTTCGTTAAAATCCGTCGAGTAATTTTTGTTTCTATAAGGAACATACAGACAGACAGACAGACAGACAGACAGACAAAAATTTTACTGATTGCATTTTTGGCATCAGTATCAATCACTAATCATCCCCTGATAGTTATTTTGAAAATATATTTCATGTACAGAATTGACCTCTCTACAGATTTATTATAAGTATAGACTAGCGGCCACCCGCGACTTCGTACGCGTGGATCCCGTTTTACCCCCTTACGGGTGGAGTTTCGAAAAATCCTTTCTTAGCGGATGCTTACGTCATAACATCTACCTGCATGCCAAATTTCAGCCCAATCGGTCCAGTGGTTTAGGCTGTGCATTGATAGATCACTATGTCAGTCACCTTTGAGTTATGTATATTTACACGTAGATTGGGTAGGTACAATATTAGCAAATGAACACCAAATTGGTGGTCCACCTATAAGGTGGCCGGTTTTTTTCTCTTGGGGTATGGAACAATAAAATGAATGAAGTCACTTACGTTGGACTCTAGAGGCGGGTCCCCGCCGGCTTCTACCAGCAGCACCGTCACCCTCGGGTCCTCGCTGAGCCTGTTGGCCAGCACGCAGCCCGCCGAGCCCGCGCCCAGCACTATGTAGTCGAACGACGCCCCGTCTGGTAGTTGGAATTAGGAAAATCAACATATTCTTTATTGCATCATGTATACAGGGCGACCCACTGGTGGTGTATCAAAGGACAATGACCAAAAGTGGTCCAAATGTCCACCACCAATGAGACCTATATTGGCTTATAGTCCATTAAATAGAGATTAACTTTCAGTATGGGACGAAAAAAAATAAGCTGTCAGTAAAAAGTTTTGACTGTTTGAAAAATTGTAGTAGTTTACGCGCTAATCTCAGGAATTACTGGTCTGATTTGAAAAATTATTTTTGTTATGGATAGCCCATTTATCAAGGATGGTTTTAGGATAAATAACATCACCCTACAACCAGTAAAGACAAATGTTGTAAAAATGGGAAATATTATTCAAACAAATTTCACGCGTACAAAGTCGTAGGCACAGCTAGTTATAATATTTAATAAAATTCATCAACCCCGCGCCACATGCGACATGACATAACATGCGTAGAATTAGTCAAAAATGTGCAATGGATAGAAAGAATGAAATCAAGAACATTTTTCGGATGAAAAGGTAAAAAACAGACTTTTCATTCAGTCATAACTTTTTACTGACAGCATATTTTTGATTGCGGTTAGTTATAATGAATCAGTATTTAGTAGACTATTTTACTACATAGGTCTCGTTAGTGGTGGACATTTGGACCACACTCCATACATTTTTGGTCATTATCCTTTAAAGGCTATAGTCATGATATACGGTTACGGTTATAGCCACAATAGCCGAACGGTGAATGGGTCGGACTGGCCGACTCGAGATCCGACGAACGCGGGTTCGAATCCCACCGCCCACTCGTAACACAAGCTTATTTAGCTTAACACGAGGGGCTAAAGGGAATATTAGTATTTTGTGCAATACAAATTGCTAATAACCTTTAAAAAAAGGATTGATTCTACTCCTCTAAGGCAGCAACGTTTCCCAGGAGAGGGAAGTTCAAATATGTATTATAAAAAAACCTTTTCATACAAATTGTTATCAGTTTGATTAAAGAGCCATATATTTAGGTACAGCTGACTCACCTTTTACATTTGCTTCGTCAGGGTATCGGAAAGCCGTTAAATTTAACAAAGATATAGCGCTGAGTACACTATGTGCTATGTCCAAACCTAGATTCGAGGTGGCTACGTCCATGGCTTCTGTGTTACTGATACCTTTGACTCTGCCGTTATCTTACATTTTTATCCTTATATTAAAACAATGTACAGTCGACAACACATCAACTATTAACAAAATCAATTTTAAAATTGAGAACAACAGGTATTTTATTACGCAGTACACGAGTACATACAGCTTGATGTATGGTTTCAAGCACCTCGAGACAATCCTTTAAAGGGGCATTAGTAAAAGTCACTCCACATAACATAACACAACCACTTGATAACCACATCTAATCCTAATATAAATAAATAACATCTTCAGATCATCGTAAGGCACTTTCTAACAGTGAGAATGTAACGTAAGTAACAGTAATTTGCTTCTGAATATATTGTTTGTAATTCATACTTTTCCTATTTTAGAACACTTCTTCTCAGCACTTGCCAAATGCTCGTCTCGAAGCGCTGGTAGGGACAAAAGATAATAAACTGATAAAGGCTCCTTAAGAGCATTTGACGATCTGAAGAACCAATTTCAAACAAATAAAGATACGTTTATTTTGATTGAGAGGTTCAACATGACACTCTTTAGATACGAATCCCTAAGAGACAAGACTCCTTCACGAAAGGCTGCAGTTTTCCAACTAACGGTGGCAACATCACCACCATGTTTCACCAGACCATAAGTCAAATTCAAATTCAAATTCAAATTCAAAACGTTTATTTGCCAAAAACACAGTAATACAGGGTGACAATATTAAATAGGATCATGTGTTTAGTCTGCTTGCAGACGTGCAAAAATTACAGGATTCAATAGTATTAATGTCAAATAATTAAGAAAATGTCAATGTAAAATTAAATTAATAGTATCAATGTCGCCAATTAAAATATTCGGTGAGTCAATTTGATTCACAATAGGGTGTAGTGGTATTTTGTGTAATTGGGCTAGTTTTAAGTTTCTTAATTATCTTCTTTTTCTTGCTCTTTCCCTCACTGATGAGGATCGCGACCACATCAGTGTTCCTCCACAGACTGCGGTTATAAGCTGTATGAACCTGTACAATGTATTTAATTGCAATAAATTAATAAATCTTAATAAACAAAATTTTGAGAGGTTCCACAATTTTTGACTTATGAATTCGTAAGATGTCCTTGTACTCATTGATAAGGGCTCGCCATGTGATGATGACTGCTGTAGGTTAATTATAATACAAATAAATGAAATTAAATAATAACTAGACATGCTGTTGCTTACTCTGCCGCATTCACTGGACGCCATTACTGCAATAGTCAACCGATCCATCCTTGACAATAAATTTCCTGATAGTTGGAAAATAGCACTTATAAAACCAATTCTGAAGAATAACCACCCAACATCATTGCGTGATCTCAGGCCGATAAGTATCCTCCCATGCCTCTCCAAGGTGCTTGAGAGGATAGTGTGTGATCAGCTAACCAAATATCTTGAAGAAAACAATATGCTTCCACACTATCAATCAGGTTTCCGGCGAGGCTGTAGGACGGCAACCGCCTTGGCAGATGTTGTTGATAATATCCTGGCTGCACAGGACCAGGGGAAGGTCACCTTGCTACTGCTGCTTGATTTCTCTAGAGCCTTCGATTCAATTAATATACCCTTGCTGCTGTCCAAGATGAGCTATTATGGTCTCGACCCAGGTACTGTCCGTTGGTTTCATAGTTATCTGTCCGGAAGGCGGCAATATGTTGAGCTGAAACACGCAAATGGTACTAGGTCACAGTCCCAACCTCAGGTGGTAACTCGCGGTGTGCCACAAGGCTCAATATTAGGACCCATCCTCTACATACTGTATAGCGCAGATATAATTACTCAAATCACACACTGTAACTACCACTTGTACGCTGATGACCTGCAAGTCTATGTCTCATTCAATCCAGCCGGTCATGCGAGCGCAATAGCTTTGCTAAATCGTGAATTGGATAGTATCTGAGTGGGCCAGGAACCTTGGTCTCATTATGGATGGCCACTTGAGATTCGAGAGCCATTATAGCTGACTGCGTTCGGAACTGCTTCTATCGGTTGAGGTTGTTGTAAGGTATTAGACCGTACTTGTGTGAAAGGCTTCGAATTTCACTTTGTGAGGCACTGGTACTGTCAAAGCTTAATTACTGTGACACGGTTTACGGACCATGCCTCCTAGCAAGGACTGCAAGACTCATACAGAGAGTTCAAAACTCTTGTGCACGTTTCTGCTTTCATATTCCCCCGAGGACACATGTGTCCCCTTTTCTGAATTCTGCAAACTTGATGAGAATGGAAGCACGCAGGCAGCTGCACTTGACCATCATGCTTTTTGGAGTCATTAAAACAAAAAGGCCAATTTATCTGTATGAGAAGTTGGCTTGGGCACAGGATAGCAACAGATATAATAAAAGAATGTGCATACACACCTTTCTCACTCCTGAACATCGAACTGTGGCTTTCAGGGGATCCTTTAGATTCGCAGCCACGCGGTGCTGGAATGACCTACCAGTACCACCGCCAATGCGTTCCCTGAAAATTAAGAGTACATTAAGAAACAAGCTTAAAACCTACATAATAGAGTTACGGAAGTCAAATGGTCAAAATGTACTCACGTCTAGGTTATGCGCGACACGTGTATGAACATTGTAACTCCAGCACCGACGGAGGCCCTGAATGCTTACGGCGAGGGGAGAACGTTTAGTGCCCCTGTCCCATGACGTTTTATGCTCCAAACTTTTTGCCACGTCACTTTCCATCTGCGTGGCAGCGCATGCTCATACACATGATTTTTTTATTTATTGTAAAACTAAAAATCACCCACTCAAACGGCAGTAAAAATAAAATGTTGACACTTGACGGATGATTGACATGACTGATTGATTTTTTTTTTCTTTTTCTCCTAATTTTTAATGTTATTTCAGTGGACTGTGACTTATAGCAACGGCATGTTGTTGCTTTTCGTTTAAATAAAATTTACTGTTGTTGCCGCGATCTCCGAATTAAAGTGAGGTTGTATCTCCGTGTTGTTTTTTATATGTATATTTTTTTAAGGGCTGATTTTTCAATCGTCAGATATCTTTTATCTGCAGAATAAACTTGTCATGTTGACATATTTCCCATACTGAAACTGTCAATGTGTCAAACTTATTCTTCAGTTAAAAGTTATCCGACGATTGAAAAATCAGCCCTAAATAATGTAATTTAAGTTTTAGCGTACATAGTAGGTACTTGTTATTATTCTGTGGTTTTAGTATGTCGGCGCTGGACACAGATGCTGCAAATTATTATTGATGATTAATAGTACCAATCTTAATATTATGTTATCTGTATAAATCTGTAGAGCGGAAGGTTTGTGATTCCTAAACGTAACACCCGACTGATGCGCAGAAAAAGGTAACTGCCCCCCTAGACAAAACGCACTTTTTGATCGAATCGAAAATCGAATCCGTCAAAACTCCATACAAAAAAGGGGCTTTTCGACCACTTTTCGACTGGTTTGCGATTATAATTTGCACTTTGTCTAGACCCACTGGTCAATCAGTTGTGTCATGTCAAGTGTGAGCAAGCGGCTGCGAGGTTATCTTTGAAAGCGTGTTGAGTTTGGTGGAACGTTAAATTGTAGGGAAAGTGATTGTCAACCATCCAAGATATTATCTCCTTGCCCGTTAACCCACGCCAATGGAGATTCCACCCCTAGAGTTCCTTCTGATAGAGACCCAGTGCCTTTAAGTATGTATTGGAATTGATGGTGGCGCCCTCTTGCAAATATCATAAACAACAACTTCTTCTTTGTTGATGGCGGTGAACTTGTGCATTTTCGCCAAATTTTACTAAAACCCGTACGTGATGGTGGCGCCCTCCTGTCAGCGTCATGACGGATAATGTTGGGCATCATCTATTTACTTTTTTTTTCTTTTAATATTGCATTTTTTTATTTTGTTCTTTCTCTTTTGTTTGTTTTTTGTGTATTGTCTCATGTTTGCCCAGCTCTCTCCAAAAATGGTCACCGCAGAATAACAGCGTCGTGTTCTGGGTTTTATTTACAACTCCAGAGCATGACACAATAATCCTGAGCGGTGACCAGTTTTGGTTCTAACTTGTATTTGTTTTTTGTTATCTGATTCTGTGTGTTATATTTTAAGTTGGAAGTGGAACCAAATAAATGTTTTTCTTTCTTTCTTTCAAACTAGCTCTATTTTACAAAAATACATAGTTTTCAGTACAATAGTTATTAGTCGTCATTACACTAACTGTGGCACCCTGTATGGGCAAAAGCCTCCTCCATCTCGCTCCATTTTTTTCTATCCTGGCTAGGCTGAGGCAGGAATTAAATAATCTAAAATGTATTTTAGGTATTTCCATCGCTATGCATTGTTACTTTCCGGGATAGACTGTACTTTAGACATTAATATTTACTCCAATTATAATAATTACTTGGTTAATTAAACTGTTCAAATATACTTTCAAGACATACGTCATAGTCTGTCTAGAATTTAAGAATAATAAATTATGTCAACGTATGTGAGAGAAACAGGGAGGTATCAAGTTGAAATTGACATAAAATAAGTCCCTTGAAACTAATACAGTGTGAGTCACGATAAAGTGTACATATGAAAATAAGTGAAACTAGACCTATTTTTATAGACAAAAAAGACGTCAAAAATTTTTTGATATTTTTTGATATTTTTATAGAATTTTTATTCTTCCAGTTTCTTTTATAAAGAAAACGTAACAACTTTTAAACTAAAAGGTATATCCTTATAAAATAAAAACAGTAATAATTCTAAATAACAGACAATACTAAAAAAATACATAAAATACTCAGAAAATGGCAACAAATAATTAAAAAATGATACATTTTGAGAAAAATCTGCATTTTAATTCGTGTTTTTTTTTTGTTATTTGATAAATTTCTCCAAATAATGCCCCCATAACAGGTGGTTTTTATTACTTTGTATTATTATTTATCTTATTACCTTTGTAAAACCAAAAATCGCATGTCTGTATCCCTATCACAACGTTTGCCTTTGCAATGATCGTTTGAACTAAGCCTCTCCGGGCGCGCCATTCAACGCTTCGTTAACAACGAAACTGAAAGTGGCTCTAGATTTGTAATTTTGATAAAGACAAGTTAGATTTCAAATAAAAACAAAAGATTTCGAAGTAAAAAAAGCATTTTAATTAAAATTAAAATTGTCTCTACCTGTAGCGGAGAATAATGTGGTGATGGTGACAGGCCTTTGTTCAAACGATCATAGCAAATGTTGTGATAAGGATAGAGACATGCGATTTTTGGTTTTACAAAATTAATACGATAGAGAATAATACAAAGCAATAAAAACCACAGGTGGTTTTTAACAGGTTTTAAAAAGTTATAACAGGTTATATGGGCATTTTTTGGAGAAATGTAACAAATAACCAAAAAAAACACGAATTCAAAAGCAGATTTTTTTCAAAAAGTATATTTTTTTATTATTTGTTGGCATTTTCTGGGTATTTTATGTATTTTTTTAGTTGTTGAATGCCTCACATTCGAGCGCGATAAGCCGCGCGCAATATTTTGTTTAGTCGCAAATACATCTCCTTACTAGCAAGGTGTCTTTCACTCATCACCAGTCCCTTTATTCAAAATTCAACCTTAACGTACTCAACATAGTGGTCAAAATCGAGCCGGATTCCTGCGTAAAATTAATTGAGAATTTGCATCGAGTGGCGAGCATATTTTTACCTGCGCGTCGACCCAACCGGTTTGCTATTGTGCTACGCACAGATGGTGCTACGCGGCTACGATACCTACGGCGACGGGTTGGCGTAAACAAGTGATTATAACGCACAGAACAAAATAACGTCAATGCAGTGATATTGCAGTGTCTTTAAATGAGGTTTACGTACATAATTCACAATGTCAGACATAGAAACGTCTATAGAAGAGCTCAAAGACATTTATGAATTAATAAAGAAGGCACAAATCAACTTTAAAAAGTGTCCAACGACAAGAAAAACAAAGGGTTATCTACAAGCGAAAATTCAATGCATCGACGAGTACTGGACTTCGTTTCGCACGGCGCATCAGACGTTATTCAAGCTAACTACGAAAAGTGATCGAGATACTTTGAATTACTTTGTCAATGATGTGCATGGAGAATGTGAAGAAGTGTATACGTGTCTCAAGGCCGATTTGACAGATTCCTTGCTGTCACGTCAACAGCAGGGGGAATCATCTGCACTGAATACAAGCAGCTCAAGTGATCGCGCTGATAATTACACCCCACATGCAAAAATTACCACAAATCAATTTACCAACATTCTCCGGCGCGTACGAGGAATGGCAATCGTTTGAAGATACATTTGTAGCCCTAATCCATGCAAATAAAGGACTTAGTGATGTGCAAAAATTACATTAGATACCTGAAATCGTGTGTTATCGGTGAAGCGAAGAATACAATCAAGCATTTCCAAATTACTGAGAAGAATTACAAACCTGCTTGGGACACCCTGAAAAATAGGTACAAACGGCTAATCGTTAATGCTATTTTGAAAAGGCTTTTTTCTTTGAAGAAAATAAATGTACAATCACCTACACAACTGAAGGCCTTGATAGACAACACCAAAGAATGTTTAACAAACCTGAATGCATTAAATATTTACACCGGTACTTGGGATCCATTAATTATATTTCTGGTAATTCAGAAATTGGACCAAGAATCACACAGAGCGTGGGAAGCATGTGTAAGTGCTGAATATTTTGAAGAATTACCCACATTCAACAACTTCACAACATTTTTAGAAAGCCGTATCTGTACTTTGGAATTAACTTCACCTGTAACTGCACCAAAAGACAAGATAAAGGAAAGATCGAGAATCGTGTTTGCAGCATGTGTAAGGAAGACCACCTGCTTTGTCACTGTAAGATCAAAATCAAAATCAAAAATCAAAAATATTTATTCAGTTTAGACCACAAGTGGCACTTATGAACGTCAATAGAAAATAATAAAAAAAAGAAAAGGTAGCCCNATTGTGCATTTTTGTATGCAGATTACGCATTTTTTCACGAAAAGTTTGTATCTCTACATCCTGCTCTGATGTTTAAGACATCACTGAAATCTCAGATCATAGAAAGAGAATAGATATGAAGTTGCGCGTAACTACAACGAGAACCAGTGTCCCCACATTTCCCCCACCACAGCTCCCACACACACATTCAACTGTGTAAAAACAAAGCGACTGAGAGTCTACGACAACATGTGCAACCGGCTTAAAAGTGCTGTGATTGGCCAGAAGGCATGCCTTATGGCCAATCAATGGCCGCGTGACGTGACGCACACTAAGAAAACGCTAGTGAGAGAACAAAGATAAAATCTGTACCCCCAGTGAAAAGGGATCTAACTCGACTTAGATCAAAATTGACTTTATAACATAATGTGAATCTCTGAAAAATTAGCTATTTTTGTATCTAATCGGTATGTTTCTANCCAAAAGATAAAGATGGCCGGACGACGCGCTAGTGATGTTCTTTACTTCCTGTTTGGAGGCATTGGCGATAGTGACGTCCGGCGAGGGGTGAAAAAAGGTTGTAAGCGCACTGCGCGAACAGGCGCTTATTCAGCATATGTTTTTATTTATTTTTATGTTTACTCTTGCTTTGTATACCATATATTGTGCTGAATAAAGACATTATTATTCTTATTCTTAATTTGTAATTCATCTTATTGCAGTACGGAGACATATCAACCCCTCTCCACTCCATAATAAACCTAGCAGACGAGCTCCGAAGTTCACAGGACAGCACTCTCAAAAACCTCTCTTCCTCACTCTCCACCAGGCAACTCCTGCGCATCGCCAGTCGAATGGCCAAGTACCCTACAGAATCCGCCTACGAAACCGTTCAGCGAACGTTCTTGGCTAAGTTCCTGCCAAACTTAGCCAGAAAGGCACTAGATAGCGCCAGCGTAAGAATCGGAATCGAGCCTTCAGCTCGTTTCGGCATCTTTTCCAGTAATCCCAAGGAGAAAAAAGTTCAATGCTCAGTCAAAAATGGCGTCCTTACCATTGGTGACACAAAGACAGAAATCTTCAAAACGGACGCCTTAACGAAAGTACCTGATATCTTATTCTACGATGTGCCTCAACACGTTAAACTGCTAGAGTGGTTGTTACAAGACTTTTTGCTCGGAAACCATTTATTGTTAGTAGGAAATCAAGGAGTCGGTAAGAACAAAATCGCTGATCGATTACTCCAGCTCTTAAACCGACCGAGGGAATACATCCAGTTGCATAGAGACACTACAGTGCAGAGTTTGACAGTTCAGCCAACTGTCAAAGATGGTATAGTGGTTTATGAAGATTCACCACTAGTGAAAGCTGTCAAAAATGGTCATGTATTAGTTGTTGATGAAGCCGATAAGGCTCCTACGCATGTGACTTGTATATTGAAGACTTTAGTGGAAAATGGGGAGATGATTCTCAGTGATGGGAGGAGGATAGTGCCAAAGCATATGATTGAAACCTCTGGGGGCGACGTGAAGAGTTTCATTCCGGTGCACGATGACTTCAAGATGATCGTGTTGGCCAATCGGCCTGGCTTCCCGTTCTTGGGAAACGACTTCTTTGCTGCTCTGGGTAAGTGCTAACCGATTTTGAAAGACATTTCAATATCATTAATTGGTGATTCAACAATAAAACTTGTCTATGGTTCTTCGTTTTCGTCTTCTAATTGCGTAAAGTGTAAGACCAATTAAATGGTTGTACTCCGATAGTTATTCATACCCCAGTCGCCATTATACAGACGTTGGCACACAAAGCCAACTTTGGCATCTGATGCAGTTGAAATATGTGTTATTATTCTATAAAAATATATAGTCTGCTATGACGACTGTACTAGCATAGAAGATCTTACTACGGCCAATGGGAAAGCGATTGGGTTCCGAAGGTTTTAGTTTCAATTTAATTCCAATAACCTAAAAGAAGAACTAAATACTCGTATAATTTCAAAACCTTCCACCTCTCTCTTCTACAGGTGACCTATTCTCCTGCCACGCCGTAGACAATCCCTCAATAGATTCAGAGATGGAACTGCTCCAATCCTACGGGCCTGACGTACCGCACGACGTGATGAAGAAGCTAGTACAGGCTTTCGCAGTCTTGAGAGAGAAGGCGGATCAGGGACAGCTGACGTACCCGTACTCAACGAGAGAGCTAGTCAATATTATCAAGCATTTGCAGGTAAGGCCCAGAACAGACGGTGAAACGCAACTGCAACGAAACTGCAACTGCTAGTTACTTTTGAGTTGCATCTAAGTTTCTGCCATAGCGTCCGTTGAGAGACCACACATGACGCGACCAGTTTGAAAGTTTCAGTTTCAGTTTCATTAATTAGAATCATCAGAAAGTTGCAGTTTCGTTGCAGTTGCGTTTCACCGTCTGTTCTGGGCCTAAGGGTTAACATGAATGCATGACGGTAAAGTGTTAGCACTGTGGCATATTATGTAGGGATGATTGGTGTTATTTGATAAAAATCCATGCCCTATGGCTGAAATGGTGATGACGATCATGAACGTAGCATTATAGCATACTACCTTACAATTAGAAATTTTTATTTTGATACATAAATGAAATACCTAATCACTTATTGCATACCACCCAAAAAGTTACTCTCTGGTCTAGTCAATAAACTTTTTGAAACTGGGAAAAAAATGGTTTTTTTTTTACTTTTTGAACTTAGAAAAATAGTTGAAGTTGACTAAGACTTAAACATCCGGTACCACTCCACAGTTTTTATAAATATTAACTATCACAATCATATTATCTTATCCTGTTTTTGTGTTCTAGAAATACCCAGGAGAGGACCTAGCAACAGCCATAAGCAACGTGTTCGACTTCGACCGCTATAGCAAAGACATGGCGGACACACTATTAGAAGTGTTGCATTCAAGTGGGCTGCCGGTAGAGGGCGTATTAGAAGGCCGCTCTAAAGAGGCTCTTAAAAAGCTACAGATGACCATAGAGAGGACTAGCGGGTGTGTATAAATATTTGTAAGTTAATATTTGCTAAATAAAAGACGGACATTACTGCTGGACAAAGTACTTCTCTATGGATTTCCATGACAACGGATCCAGGTTTGCCTGCATTCAGGAGTTCTCAGTGATCTTCACCAGTCATCAATCCATCCAGTGAGAGGCGTATACATTTATACGTTTTCTATGCTAATGTAGGCTGTGTGTTTTACTATGTTCTGATTGAAAAATCCGCCAGATGGCAATACGTAGACGGGAGGTCCAAATGCTGCATGATTGGTGGATTTTGACAGATCTGTCAATGTCATGTCAAAAATAACCAATCATGCTGCATTTGGACCTCCCGTCTACGTATTGCCATATGGCGGATTTTTCAATCGCGAAAACCCTCATTGGAATAAGGTTGTGTTGTCAACTTTTTGGCCACTTTGTGTGTGACCAATTATGTGACGCTGACAGTACTAACAAAACATTGTATTTCAGTAAAGACGTGTCCTCACCAAAGCACGGTAAAGAGGACCCAAAGAACGAACCACACGTGGGCGGGAATACTTGGGCGGGCGGCACGGGCGGGCGGGACACGGCCGGGCTGGGCGGCAAGGGCGGGCCCTACAGGCTAGACAAGGGACATGATGTGCATCAGGTGAAAGTTCACTTCATTGCATGGATCCAATGACATTTTAACTTTCCCCCGGGACAAACTTGACCTTCATTGGTTGGGTTTTTGTGGCGGTCAAGCTGTAGATCCTGGCTACACAGGAGTTGCAGTGGTGGGAACGAGAGGTGGGAATAGTCCCGTTTTCATTGCATGGATATTAGATCGTCATCATCATTTCAGCCACAGGTCGTCCACTGCTGAACCTGGCCTGCATCCAGTGCCTTCCCGCTACCTTTATGAGGTCGTCGGTCCACCTTGTACGTGGACGTACTACGCCACGTTTTCCACTACGTGGCCTCCACTCCAAAACCTTGCTGCCCCATCGGCTGGCAGGTGTGCGTTATTCTAGGTGAAATTCTCCATTTGCTTTTGGTACATTGGAGAGGGTGAATCCTGCAGTGGTGACTAAATAAACTGATGAAAACGATCATGATGAAAATAGCCTGTCTGATTCGAAAAGTGGTAGGTAATTAACACTTGGGCGGGTGGCACTGGAGGGCGGGACACGGCCGGGCTGGGCGGCAAGGGCGGGCCCTACCGGCTAGACAAGGGACATGATGTGCATCAGGTGAGTCACATTTCAATGCACAGATAAGGTATGATACGATGTTCTAAGGTACGGCGAACGAGAAGCGATACCAAATGTAAACAAACCCAATGTCATGACATATTTTGGCGGGAGAACGAGACATTACGACAAATACACAAGATGGGAAGAGACAGAATATATTGTCAACTCGACAGTCGTATCGACCTTTTGTATCGCTGCTAGTTGGCCGTACTTTAGGTGAAATTCTCCATTTGCTTGTGAGAGTCACATTGCCTGGATAGGTGTGCGTTAGACTAGGCGAAATCCTCCATTTGCTCTGGTGCATTGGAGAGGGTCCTGCAGTGGAGATTAATGACATAATGATAATGAAAGACTTTTTTTGTAAGCATCGAAATCTAGCAAGCTCGATCAAAATCAGTTCCTAATAAAAAATTGAGTGTTTTTGTTGAGCGTTGGAGATTGGTCGCATACAAAATATTGTTCTAAAATATGGTAAGTTGATGGGTAGTTAGAATTTTTTGTGGCCTCATAGAAAAAGTTTGAGGCAGCATCACCTCACTTCGCAAAAAAATAAGCAAAATTTATTTACATACTGTATAGTATAACATGTATATTTTTGTTTCTCAGCTATCCGATGCGGAAAAAGACGACATTCCCGAGCATGTGAAAAAAGCTGCGCGTGAGATGAACAGGAAAGCCTTCGAGGAGCGACTGAAGGAGATCAAGATGAGCGAATACGACGCAAAGCTCTATGAGCAATTCCTTAGAGCTGTACAGCCACAGGTAACATTTTGTTTAGTCTATAAATAAATATCCTTGGACATTTTACACTGCGCTTCTAGTCCCAAACTAAGCAAAGCTTGTACTATGGGTACTAGACAACGGATATAAACATACTTATATCCTTTTTTTTTTTTAAATACATACATATTATACATAGAAAACACCCAGTCCAATACAAACAAATATGTTCATGCACACAAATGTTTGTACTGTGCGGGAATCGAACCCGCAACCTCCGGAATAGTAGTCCGATTCGAACCACTACACCAAACGGCCGACAAAGTCTATGATACCGTCAAGTTCAAGATTACATTTTTATTTTTAAACTAGCTGTGCTCGCGACTTCGTACGCGTGAAAACCCGTTTTCGTAACATTTTTTATTATTGCTCTGCTCCTATTGATCGTAGCGTAATGTTGTGTAGCCTATAGCCTTCCTCGATAAATGGGCTATCTAACACTGAAAGAATTTTTCAAATCGGACCAGTAGTTCCGGAGATTAGCGCGTTCAAGTAAACAAACAAACAAAGAAACTCTTCAGCTTTATAATATTAGTAAGTATAGATAAACAACTTGAAAATATAGAACTGCCTAAGGCGGGAATCGAACCCACGACCTTTCGCTTGCCGGGCGACTGCTCTTCCAACTGAGCTAGATACTTAAAAACTGGATAAGCAGTCGCCTAGCAAGCGAAAGGTCGTGAGCTTTATTCCCGCCTTAGGCAGTTTGATTTTTTCAAGTTATTTATTTAAATTTTAGTTTGAGAAGCGATTCTAATGGCTAAAAAACTTCAACATTACATTTTGTTTATGATACTGTAGAGTCACTAATGCTACATTTTTTTAATCATTAATTTACGGATGCCAGTGATAGTTGGAATAAAATACTATGATTTATTATTTACTAGATTGGTGCGCTGAGAGGTGTGTTAGCAGAACTGCAAGCTAAGAAAAAGGAACGACAATGGACTCGACACCAAACCAGTGGAGAACTAGATGATGCTAAAATAATTGAAGGTACTTACAATACTTTTTATTTCTAAATAATTTTTTTTTTATTTAGATGCAATAATCTTAAAGATAGTGCCAGTGTTTTTGTCTTTTGCAATGTAGCTACGGAACGCATCAAATGATTTAGTATAGGTGTTTTTGTTACTTCTGCTATTGAGTGAATTTAATAATCTTTTTGTGGTGGTAACACATCTTTTAGGTGTCCTATAGTTATTCTTTCTCGTTTCGACCTTTTTGTCACTTCCTACAAATCTAAATCAAACTAACTTATTTCCTTCGATAGAATAAAATACTCTTCTAATTCTAGTTGTATTCTTCCAGGTCTTACAGGCGAAAGATCGATATACCGAAGGCGAATGGAGCAAGAGCCGCCGCCGGGCGCTCCGCCCGACAAGCCCAAGCGACTCAGACTGGTGGTGGATGTGTCTGGCAGTATGTACAGGTAAAAAGCAGCTATCACACGTTGGTGACGCTTGTACGTTACTGAGAAGTGCTGCCACACCGTTTGTTAGTCGTATACCTCGAAATCAAAAAATCCTTGTAGCTTTTCACCTATTCGCATTTCGTCGCGATATCAAAATTTCTAAATAGATTTTTATTCTTGTAGTATAATTTTTGATCGCTAATTACAATTGTCTAAAAAATTCATAGTAGATTTACTTTCCTGCCTGTCTTTACTGTAAATAGGCTATTGATAATACATGATACATCAAAATTTGCTACTGTTGTAAAAATCTGTTAAAAATTTCAGCTAGTAACAAAATGTACTACCGATATTACACGCTACTACAAAAAACGCTATCACGGTGAAATGCGAATAGGTGAAAAGCTACAATGATTTTTTGATTTCGAGGTATACGACTAACAAACGATCGAATCCAGCTTCTGTCAATGACTTTTTGCAAGTCGTCATTCTATCTAGCTAAATGACGCCCAACATACTTTTGTAGAGTTGAAAACTCGTTTACCCCAGCAGTTATCGGTTTTTTGACAGATATGACGATCCCACTTTGCTTCAGCTTGCTAATCTGGTGTGTGAGATATAAAAACTGAAGTGATCTCAGATCATAGAAAGAGAATAGATATGAAGTCGCGCGTAACTACAACGAGAACCAGTGTCCCCACATTTTCCCCACCACAGCTCCCACACACACATTCAACTGTGTAAAAACAAAGCGACTGAGAGTCTACGACAACATGTGCAACCGGCTTAAAAGTGCTGTGATTGGCCAGAAGGCATGCCTTATGGCCAATCAACGGCCGCGTGACGTGACGCACACTAAGAAAACGCTAGTGAGAGAACAAAGATAAAATGTAGTCGACAAGATATCGATACTTTAAATCGCTAGGGGCAAGGCTCGAAACTGATTTCACAAAATGCTTATGTATGAAAACCTTTTTATTATTATACGTTATTATTAACTACTATCACGCATTTACTTTTTAATTATGGCGATCTGCGTACCGCATAAATGTTTATCAAAAATAATGCCTATATTAGGCTTTCAACTAGCTCTTATAGTAATTACATAGTTGACAGTTACTAATTACTTCTACTGTTATTTTTTTTTTGTAAAATCTTATAATCGCAAGTAACACATCATTTTTTTATTTAAAATTACAAAATAGAAAATTATAATTTACTTCTATTTATCGATAATAGGAAACCGCATTAGAACACGAGCACGGCACTATGTTACGACCGGCACATGCGGCCGTACTGTGTATTTTCACACGACAGTGGATATCGGAAGAAATTAAATACATTGCGCAGTAGTTGAGCATGACATAAAGTGGTTGCTAACTAAATCGTCAATGTACAAGTGTGTTAGAATTTTTATCACCACTGATTTCGATATCGCGGTAACTGTTACGGCACTAAATTCGTTCGTAAAAATGTTTAGTTTATTTTATTTATAAGCAAAATACCAATGGATTTGCAATACTTACATGTAGTAAATGACTCCATTGTTCCTGTAGTTCTTCGTTTCACTTGTTTTATTGCACGTAACGACGCATTATCCAAAATATCGGAGAACATTTCCTTAGTACGACTGAATCGCGACTAACCTAGCTACGCGGCCGATGTTCGTTTCTGGGCATATCGCGGAGACACGCGCCACGCCCCCGTTTCACATCTATTCCCTTCTATGATCTGAGGAAGTGATGTAGCATAACGTCTCATGTGATTCACGCTATGGCACATGAACAATTAATTTTTCACCAATACCAGATTTAGAGCCGACGAAAGACTTCCAGACTGTTTACACTCGACGAGCGAAATTTTAGGTTATTTAAAAGTCATTTCTTATTTTTGACAACAGGTTCAACAGCTACGACGGTCGTCTAGAACGTTCGATGGAGGCAGTTGTACTGCTAACAGAAGCTCTCCGAGGATACGAGGCGCGCATCCGCTACGATATGTATGCGCATTCCGGCGAGGACCATGCGTTGGAGTTAGTCCGCGTCGACCGCCCGCCGGAAAATGAAAAACAACGCTTGCAGGTGAGTTTTAATTTACGAGGTTACAAAAACCTCGTGGGTTGGTCTTATTCTTAGCATCACCGGTTTCTTATTCACGAGGCTAGAATAACCTTGTTCAAAATCATCTGCTTTACCGCGTTCAGTCTATTGTGATTACCGCTATGTAATTCGCCTGCCAGTTAACATAAATTAGGCAGTAGAATCCCACTGGTGAACCTATGATAAGATCTCAGAATACAGAACAAACCAGAAGGAGTGTTCGATAACATTTCTACGCGGCAACTTGTGTCCAAAATACTTCCCCTCCCGCGCCCCTCTACCCCCTTTAGTGTTACTAGCGCCGTGTGACACCCCCATTTTCGGGGTAAAATTATGTAATTTTTTAATGAGATGTTAAACAAGTAAAAAATAAGTAAGTGAAATAAGTACACACGGCCACAGTATTAACTATCCATTTCCGTTTTTGCTCTCGCTCTCATCAAATGGTGATTCTTTGCGATAGAACGAGACGACATGACTGGCCATAGGCATAGATAGTACCTACCTACCTATGAATTTAATTTTTACTCCGAAGTAACTAAGTGTAGATGATTATTTATTTCTATTAAATAGTGTAATATACTACATGTAGGTATAATATGTTATTTAAAAGTCAATTACAAAAGTCGAATATAAATTTTAGAATGCCAAGTAAAACAAAAAAGAAACTTAAGGTTCTTTATTATGTAAACATATCGACAACAAAACATTTGTTTACGGCGCAGTAGTGCTTTTAGTTTAACTTTTCTTGGAGTCAAAAACAGAATCCAAATCAAAAACATCACCAATACTTGAATTTGATTGCGAGGCAACTCTGGCTGTGTATCCTGAAAGAAAATCAGAGTAAGTATGTAAGCAATAATTAATTGCTTAAAATTATTATTAAATATACAAATATTGCTGCTGCTGATCTGTTGATACCAATGCCTTACTTTTGAATAAATGGGAAAGTATGAAATTCACGATAGTAATTTATTATCTCCTCATTATTTAGGGAGTAATATTATAAATTAATTAAAATATTAAAATCAAATCAAAATCAAAAATAATTATTCAGTTTAGACCACAAGTGGCACTTATAATTTAATTAATCAGGTTGTCATATTGTCATGGATGAAAATACACTAAAAACTAATTAAAACAAAAAGGATGGGGAAAATATTCCATTATTCTGTGGTAACGCTAACAAAATTAACGCGTGAATTTTTTATAGACAAATGTAATTTAATATAAAAAAGTAGGGTAAAATATTCCGTTGACCTGTGGCAACACTTACAAAATACAACCGTGATTTTTTTTGAAAATTATTTATTTAATTAAAATGAATTGGAAATGTGCTACTTACGGATAAAACATGATCCCATGCACTTTCTTCGTAATTCCAGTAGCATTCTTACATGTTGGAACGGCACAAGACGGCATAATTTAATTATAAAGTGTCAATCTGACGGATATGTAAACAATGCGCGCGCCGGCCATTGACTAATTGCTCTAAAGTCAAACTAGTGCGTTTTGGAGTAATTTATATGAATACACATTTACGCCCGTTGACGGTTTCTGGTTTGTTCCGTATTCTGAGGATAAGATAAGGTAAGACCTGTAGGCCTAAGATGCGCGCCGTGATAACTTTTATCGACGTAAAAATGTATGGGCAAATACGATAAAATGGCGTGATAACCGCTTATCGCGGCGCGCATCTTAGGCCTACTGGTAAAGGTAGCGAGAAACGCCTGGTTATGGGCAGCGCACGACCGGTCCTTGTGAAAATCCTTGGGGGAGGGCAGCAGTGAACATCTATTGCTTGAAATGTTAAATGGGGAATCTTGGGGTATCTTTTGAAAAGTTGTATAAAATATAGTCTGGTCGCCGAGCACGTAGAATTTTGTCCAATGACCCCAAGTAACCCATCCTTATCGCTCGCGCGTAATTATGTTGCTGTCGCGCTCGCACACTCACTGCTGCCGCCCGTCGCATAGTCGCGACAGCAATATAATTACGCGCGAGCGATAAGGATAGGTAGCTTGGGGTCATTGGACAAAATTCTACGTGCTCGGCGACCAGACTTTAGAGGTATAGATATTTCGTGCTAAATCCTTTTTTCTTCTTTAATATTGAGCTCGGGGACCTTTACATGAGGGATTTTTATGTTTTTCTTACAATACTTTTACAGAATGTGTAATATTTTATTGCTTATTTTGTCCTAGATAATCCGCACGATGCACGCGCATTCTCAGTTCTGTTGGTCGGGCGACAACACGCTCCCGGGCGCCAAGCACGCGATATCGACTCTAGCGAAAGAAGACGCAGATGAATCTATAGTTCTGATACTATCCGACGCAAATCTAAGGAGGTATGTTGCTTTTGTATCATTTCTATTGCTATTTGGGTATTTCACACGTATTCATAAACGATACTTGCTTAAGTGAAGCAGCAAATCGAAGCTCTGTGATTGGTTCGTGTGTCACCCTGTGCGTCCACGCGTACTGTGAGACCTCATAGTTATGTTTGTGAACACGGGCGTTTATATTAATTTATTTGCTGATAAATAGTGCTAAAGTAAACCTACGAGGATAATTCGTTTCACTATTGTTTGACGCTATTCTCAGGAAGTGTTTAACGTTATTCATGATGGTATTTAGGACGTTATTTGATGGTAAACAGAAGCAAAGTAAGCACATATACGTCCCATAATGCGCAGGTCTTACCTCTAAAACAATTTTATTTCTTTCTCTAGGTACGGTATACAGCCAGAAGAACTGGGCACAATTTTGACGTCAGAGTCAAAGGTGCAAGCGCACGTCATCTTCATCGGCAGTCTTGGCGACGAAGCTTCCATGTAAGTGTCTTTTTATTTATATTTTAACAAATTGTAACTAAAATTTGGCAATAGGATTTTAGACAATAATTAAGTACCTGTTTTGTCTGACGTTTAGACCGGGTTGCACCGGGATATATCAACAACAAAGACAAGTCAGCGTCAAATTGTTCGTGACAACCAAAATAAGCAATAAGTTCGCAGCACATCTTTGTTACAACTGTACCTATGATTGTACATTTATTATAAAAAACTTTCACCCTCAAATAAATGTATTCTTATTCTATTCAATTTCACCCCAAAGAATATGGCGGTTATCACACTGCGCCGCGCTCCGCCGCGGAGCGCGGGGCGACAGATTTAATCATTGTATGCAAGTACCTCAGTTTGTATAGAAAACACGCGCGGCACTTCACACTGATGAAGATGAAGCATTTTTTATATGAAAATCACGCGGCGGAGCGCGGCGCAGTGTGATAACCGCCTATTAGTTCAACAAAATTGTTGCAGTAGTTTATGTGTAAAAATCTAAGAAACAAACACAGTTACTTTCATATTAATATTCCTATTCCCCAGGTTACTTCGTCGCCTGCCAGCGGGACACGCCCACGTATGTATGGACACAGCCAACTTACCTCACATCATGCAGCAAATCTTCGCTTCTTCCTTACTACAGAACGCCGACAGCTAGCCTCGACCAGTTCACACGACCTCCTTTAATTTACCAGAAGCAAATAGAGGATTTAGCCAGGCCTGTTCATCTCCGCGAGTTTGCATCTAAAACAAAACACGCGCGACTACACCTCCTGGGATATTTAATCGACAGGACACTCAAGAGCGAGCATTGACGTTAAGCAAAAATGAAACTGTGCCTATACGTTTTATTGTTGCTGTTGGTATTCCGAATAAATTAAATTAAAATCATTGGGACGATTGTAACTGTCTTACTACTAGATTTAAGCTATATCATGGTATAGAAAATATTTACATTCCTAGATAAATGTAATAAATTATACAATTAAAATAATATACATATGTATTTACCTATTTTGTTACTATGTTTGTACCTATATGTATAAGGTCAACCAAAAAAATAGGCTAGTTTCTGTTTTTACTTTTCCTAACAAACTAAATGTAATATTTTTAAGAGCATCCTGTTTATCAGCCCTCTGTCATTTTCTCATTATTTACATACGTGACGTCCTTGTACACGGATGCACTGTCTGGCACGATCGATGCCATGCCTCCGGACCGCACTGAACACTTCGGGTTCACTCGACATAACATCAAAAAATCTCGAAAACTAGCATTCTAAAAATATGGTTGTATTATCTAAAACGAATTAATTTAAGATGTTTTATTTGTCCCTTAAATCTCGTCTGTCTTTTGGAGGTGACCTTATATGTATAGGTAGAGATTTGAGTGAAAGTGTAGCTGGAACTACCTCATAGACCAAATATTGTAATATTTAAATAATAGTTAAATATATTTTATGTAATTAACGACAATGTTATAGATACAATGTAATAAATAAGATAACTACAATGTACATTTTTTATTTTTTGACAACTTATTGTTATTTGTAAGGTTTGTAATTATAGAGGCTATTGCGATCCATTTCGTAGTTTTATTTTTTAAATCAGGATATTTACTACTTAATTACCGACGGAACTGTAATAAATAATGTAACGGGTAATGAATATATTTAATGTAAATAAGAGATGCAATGACACGAAGGGAATAACAATTCATATTTTCTAATTTACTCAGTTATTTAGACTTTAATGCCACATAAAATCTATAATAATATTATAAATGCGAAAGTAACTGTCTGTCTGTCTGTCTGTCTGTCTCGCTTTCACGCTTAAACCACTGAACCGATTTTGATTAAATTTGATATAGAGATAGTCTGAGTCCCGGGATATGTCCTTTCTCGGATAGTTTTTATCCCGGTTTTTGAAACAGGGACGCGCGCGATAAAGTTTTTCTGTGACAGACAAAATTCCACGCGAGCGAAGCCGCGGGCGGGAAGCTAGTAGTAAATAAGGCGAACTAAATGCCATGAGGCATTGTATGCCAGCGATATTGGGTATCCTTCCGTTTGGCCAAATTACTTTTCGCCAAATTTCACTTCGCAAACAACTTATCGCCAAAGTTTCATTTCCCAAATGAACTTTTAGCAACTGTACTTTTCGCAACTAATTCATTTGGTCAAATTATCATTTGGCCAAATTTTACTTGGCAAATGTTTATATCGCAAATGTTTTATGTTGCCAAATATTATATCCCAAATAATTTGTTTGGTCAAATTGATACTTCACATAATTACCCACCGTTAACCACAAATCAAAGTATAAGGCACATGATCATGGTTTTCACAAGAATTTTATGTAAAACATTGCAGGAAATAGTATGGTTGCAAAAAGTAGGTATTACAGAAAAAAGTAGGTTAGGTTAGGTTAGAACAGTGACCCTTAATGCGCGAAGGCGAGCGAAGCGTGCCGCGGCAGCGGCCGCCGAGCGCTAGAATCACCTCTATTGTTAATGAATCGTTTGGAAATTTCGATAAAAAAAATGAAATAAGGAAATTAATGTAGAACAAATTTTATATTAACTACCCACTAAACAAAATAATAACCACAAGCTAATTTGTATCCATTCTATGCACCAATCAAATTACTTTGTAAATAGTTTATCGTGAAATATTTTTGCCTAATGAAACATTTGGCAAACCATACTTTGCCAAACAATAATTTGCTAAACAATAATATGCCAAAAACAACATTTGCGAATTAAAAGTTTGCCATAAGTTGCTTTGCCAAATGAGAATTTGCCAAATGAAAATTTGCGAAACGTTGTTTGCGATGTGATAATTTGGGAAACGTTTTTTGGCCAAACATTAGTAATCCGCGATATTGTCATTAAGGACATCGAGCAAATCAGTAGATAGGTAATAGGTACTGTTTCTTGGTGCTGCATTTTTTTAATGTTACATTTTATTATAGCAAAATATATATAACCCCCGAACCTCTATCAGTCGATTCGTAAACACGCTCTATTTTCCAGATTGCTAAACTTTAGCTCCGAAGTACAAGCGCCCGTAAAGATTAATCCCAAGCGATCCCCGGGATGTCCTCCCACTCGTAAAATTACTTCCAACTTCCAGGAATATCTATGTAGTTCTACAGCTGCCATACATCAACATAATATTTTGTACATTAAATGTACATTTTTGTTTCATAATCACACTTGTTATTATAATATTTATTAAACAGCGTTCGGCGGTATTCACAAACGATGCTTGCTTAAAGTGAAGCAGCCAATCGAACGCACAGCGTTGAACCACGGTTGAGCTCTGTGATTAGTTCGTATGTCACCAGTCACCCTGTGCGTCTACGCGCACTGTGAGACCTCATATTATTAATAATGATGTTATTGACCATGAAAGTTTAAAACCTCATAGTAATGTTTGAGAATACGGGCGTTAGTTTGATATCCTGTTTTTATAGTGAAAGCACATTAGACTATACAATTTTGTTTTAAAACACATCTATCACTACACAGTATAACTTGACTTACTGACTTATGGTCCTATGTCCCCTAGATGGGGCAGAGGGCGTCCACAACAGTCCTCCATCTCGTTCGGTCTTGAGCTTCTCGCTTGATCTCGCTACAGGGTCTTGCCTCGTCCGCTACAGTGCGCCGCCAAGTTTGCCTGGGTCGACCACGTTTGCGTTTTCCTTGGGGATTCCAAGGAAAACGCATACACAGTATAAGGTGTTAAGAAAATGCAGCTGTCCATAATTTATCGTTGCGATCTCCGTGGACAGTGGGCGCGGATAAGAACACTGGGCTAAAAAAAAAATATTGTTTCTAGAGCACTTCCATGAACAGAACAACTTAAGTTAATTTCTGATAAAAATATATCTTCTTTGAACTTTCGATATCCTTGTACCTATAGTTTTACGAGTACATTCTCTATGTTTCCGTTTTCTATAAGGTTCCACGGTGCCCTAAAAAGCATTTCCATGTAAGCAATGTAACATCCTCGCAACTTTTTAAGCAAATAAATGATTTCTATTTCTATTTTCTATTTCGCGAATGTTCAAAGAAAAGCTCTCAGCGAGTGAATATTACCTTTAGGGGATTTTATTTCTGTAGCTTTGTAAAAATAAAAACACTATCCGCGTAAAATGGGGTTATCTATCACTACGTTACAGAGGAAAACCAATTACGGCTAGAGTATATCTTAAGTTCAACATTACTAGATACCCTAAATCCTTTGCAAGTACCTACGGTCCCGGCTCCACTAGTATTTTCGGACCGGTAAAAAACCTGATCTTAGGGGAGACCGGGGATAGTTGACTAATTTTTCACTAAATCATACATATTTTTTGTGTTTTCATCCATACAGACAAATTAATCGCATTAATGGATAGAAGAACTATTAAACTAATAAAAAACAACAAAACATAGTTCATTATTAAATATCATCATCATATTTAAATGCATTTTATAGAACATCAACTCTTAGTCAATCTACCCCGGTTCCGGGGTAGATTGACTATATGCCCGGGGTAAGTAGACCTACGTATCAATAATCAAGAAATTATGAGAAGAGTCAAGTAATAAAACACTATTTTCAATTTAATTGAACTCTTTATTCAAAAACAATATAATCAGGTACAGACATCTTTAATAAGTCTTTAAAAAAACTATCAACTCTTAGTATTTAAACTTTTTAAACTAAAATCTTCTTCAGTCTCATTTTAAATCACATAATATCAATCTTTGTATACAGGGTGTCCCAGATGGGTGAATCAAACTGATAGGGCAGGTAGCTCTACTAATGTACTATCCCAAATAATATGAAAAATAAAATAAAGCGCATGGACACAATTTTTTTTAAGGTGAAAATAAATCAGTTTTGCCTAAGTATCTGGCTATAATTGCTGCGTTTGGAGTTTATTTGTACTTTTTTCTTACTAATATTAATTGTACACGATCGCTTCGTTTATCTGTAAACAAACTTTTGAAAATAATGACTAGATTTCGAGTTTAGAGCACTTTATTTAAAAAAAACCGAACTCAATTTTTTTTTTCATATTTTTTTGGGATAGTACATTAGTAGAGCTATTTCCCCTAGCAGTATGATTCACCCATTCTGTGACACCCTGTATAGTAAAGTACTTTTACGTAGCCGATTATTTCTTCTATTATCTAAACGTGGCGCCGCTTTAGGAAAGTGTCTTATTTCTTCATCGTTCAGTCGTTCGTTTATAGATCCTCATCGTGCTGTAGCAATAAAAATAATGTATGTATTAAGAATCGAATAAATAGATAATTTTAAAGATATTTTAAACTCAAAATGTTGTTGGGGTTGGTTGATTCAACCAGCCCCGAAAAAAATTAGTCTACCAACCCCAAACGACATTTTAAGTTTCGATGGCATGGATAACCTACACACTGCCACCTAATAAAGAAATAACACAAGAAATAATATCAATATGGACTCATAAAACACTCTGACTAATAGGCAAACGGTTAACATAAAATGTGTAGGTAACAAATCAAAAAATATGCAACACGAAAATATTACTTACATGATATGAAAACAAATCACGGGTCACTGCTCGAAAACGGCGTGTGCCGGCGACGCGGTGCTACCGACGACTGTGCGGGGGGCGGAAAGTGATGCGTGGCTGCGCTGGGATGACGCAATACTCAAACCGTTGGCGAGTTTTTGGCGATTAGTCTACCTACCCATATAGTCAACTATCCCCGGTCTCCCCTACGATTAAATAGGGTAAGTATACGATAAAAGAAAACACGTAGGTAAAGGACTGTTGTACTTTCTGTATAGGTACTTAGTTATCATAATTTTATAATATTGTTGGAAAAGAGACAGAATT